AAATGTGACAGCGTCTCGAGGTGTTTGTCAGGAGCCTAGCCGCCGCATTTTGCACTCTCTGTAGATGCTCGATTGCTGAGGCGCTGACACCAACAAGTAGTGAGTTGGCATAGTCTAAACGTGTAGTTACAAAGGCGTGAACAACAGACTCCAGCTGAGGTCGACTGACTATTGACTTTAAGCGCGAGATGCAACGTAGTTGAAAAAAACAGGACCGGACTGTAGAGTTGATTTGTGAACTAATTAACAGATCAGAGTCAGGTTTCGCTCCCAGACTGGATACACACGATTTAAGATTTAAAAACGGTAGAGGATAGTCACCAGGTGCATGCTTTGGATTTATTGGATTAAAAAGAATGGCGTCGGTCTTGTTTTCGTTAAGGCAAAGGAAGTTCTCCGACAGCCAGCCTTTTACTGCAGTAACACAGTCGACAAGGAGGCGTGTTGAGTCAGGTTGACTTAACGCCAGATAAATCTGGCGATCATCCACGTAAAGGTGATAACTTATTCCAAGGTTAGACAGAATCATCCCCGATGGCAATAAGTAAATTGAGAATAGGAGTGGCCCTAGAATCGAACCCTGAGGCACACCCCAGCGAAGTGGAGTAGATGGAGAGGAAAAGCTGTCAATGTGACAAATATGATCTGAACCAATGAAGTGGGATCCCTGTTACCCCCAACCTCATCTCCAACCTCCTAAGTAGTTTGTCATGGTCCACTGTGTCGAAGGCAGCAGAGAGGTCCAGGAGTAACAGAAGGACATGAGAACCAGAATCAGTTGCCACCAGGATATCGTTTAATACACGAAGATGTGCAGTTTCTGTGCTGTGGTGAGGTGAGGTCTAAAGCCAGACTGAAAGTGATCGAGGAGGCTATGATCTCCTAAGTAACTGGAAATTTGAGTGTGAACTACTTTCTCAATATTCTTGGATTTACCATTTTACTAACCACTGGGACCGCCTACAGCGGTGCGTCTGACTGAGAGCGTTTCAAACACGTCCACTTAGAAACGTAAAAGTTTTAACTAGGATCCTCGGTCTCCTGGTCTCCAAGTGAATCGTGAAATCTTCCCGTCGCACTCATTAAATAGCTTTGCTGTAACTTTACCTGGTAGGGACTGAGGAAAACCCAGTGGGTGTGGGAGTAGACTAATGTCATGCCTGGGGGCATCTGGGACCATCTGTCGATATGAGATGACATTTTTCCCACTCGGTGGGCCACAACTGCTTACGTTTATTTTGCATAAATCCTTGGTTATACGAATCCTCAGGTATCTAACTTCCACTGAGTCCCGACTGAAGCTGAACCTACTGAATAGATTGATCGTCATATACTTCAGCTCTGAGAAGCTCATTTATTTTGCTTTCAGGATCTCTCTGAAGCCATCCAGTGTTGGTTGGTGTTGCAGGGTGGTCAGTTTACAACATCAATTATCTGGTCATAAAAAAGGTCACAAGTTTGATCTCTGCTACAACTAACATGTCCATCAGCTGGCGTCTGTCCCGAGGTGAACACTGAGCCATTGTGAGTCTGAAGCTGTAGATCTCAGACGTGTGGTACAGATGTTAGAGTCAGATTATCTATCAAACATCTTGTTTGGCTGCTGAGAGGCATTAAACTCCATATCTGTCATTTGAAATGAAAGGCAAAGCATTCGCTTCATGTTATCGTCAGAGTTTATCTGAAAAGCGCTGCCTCAGAAATCCTTTTTTCACTCAGGCTGGTCGGGGTCGTGCCAGTCGCACTTCCCAAAACAAAGTCCACATGTGTCCATTAATACAAACCAGACATGTGGATGGAAGCGTCCAGCCTCTTCTAGTTGGCTGCACGGAGAGCTATGAAAACTGGCCCTGGAGGGGGGTTATTAGCGGCTTCGAAGGCCTTAACCCACATTCCCTCGTGTCGGCGTGAACCCGGCTGACCCGTGACAGGCCTCGCCACAACAAAAGAGCTGCAGTGATGGCGGCAGAACGACAGGAGATCAAAACGCAACCAGGAAACGGAGCGGCCACCATTAGAGGGTGTGATGCTTCAGCATCTCCTGTCTTTGAGATTGGGTCATGTTACTGTCCTGGAGTTTCTGTAGGAAATGAAGTCAAACGTGAGTTACAGCAGATCATCAGTGAAAGAGCCAGGGGAAGTCCAGGTGATTGCTGAGAAGCTGTCTATTGTTAAAATATCATTTAAAGAGCAAGTCACCCCCAAATCAACCTTTTTTCTGATAAACTATATAAATGTGTGTCTAATCGTGCTGCAGACACGTGTGGTCAAGTTTAGCACTTTAGTGCATTTTAGCTAAAAATTTAATTTTCTGCCTAAAACCGTCAGTGATGTGCCGTTGTCAGGTAAAAACTGCACTGCATTTGAATTTAAATCTGCCATCGCTATTGGCTAAGAGGTACCCTAGAACGTTAGCTGGTACCATATGATGTCACAATCACTGTTTTTATAGGACCATCCCGTTTTCTAAACGGGATTTGCCGCGGCTCCCCGGGGAGGGTTTTGGCATTTATAGTAGCAAAGCTGAAGCTAGAATAAACTGCCATCAGGCACCTCTCCAACCAAGACGGGATATAGGGAGGTCGCTGGGTGCCCCCCCCCTCCCTCATATGTGACGTACAGGGTCGCGCATTCAGCATCAGATGGAAGACACGTCAGATTGATGAAATTTCTTTTTAAGGACCTTTAGCTTTGATGCAACCTGCTTTTTGTCCCGCTTGACGCCCCGCTCAGCCAGTGTTTTCACCACTCTGTCGAACAGCTGTCTGTCTCTCACCGTCCCCGTAAAAAGGCGACGAATCTGTTCGTCCGTTCGCACGGCCAAAAGCTCCATGGTCTCTGCGTCCGTCCAGCCGACTTTCCTTCCAGCTGGCACCCGGCGCGCAGTACACGTGACTAATGCAACCACCCTCTTTTGCGGGGGGGGGGGGGGGGGGGGGGGGGCTCCCACAGTCGCTCCAAAAGGATTAGCGGGGCTGACACGCGTTTTGCCGTCAGAGGCGAGGGGCTGATGTGGCAATATTACCACCAAGCGAGGTGGAACGAATGCCGCAATATTTGCGCAACGCCATGCCGGCATGGCGCGTTTATAGACATACCATTGCGGTAATATTATGCCGATATGCCGGCATGGTGTGTCCTATAAAAGCACATGATGCCTTTGTGAACCTGCGTGTGTGTGTTAGCGGTTCCACCCTCTCGGTCTGCTAGGCAACAGCATTTGTTGCATTTTTCAAACAGGAAGTGGGAGTGGAGTAAGAATCTGGTAGGGGGTGACTTGCTCTTTAAATGCTTTTAGACATAATTTATTACTAAAAGCATTAAATACTTTTGAGAGTTTGCCCCCAAATTGAATCATTATATGGAAAGGAAGAACTCTAATTGCTGACGAATCTCTGAAAACTGCAAGTATCTTGCAACTAAACTACGAGTTTCTCACTGTAATTCATCACTAATATCAACACAATCTCTCAGGATTCCCCCGAGGTGGCCCAAGCAGCTGGGGAGAGGGAAGTCTGGCCTCTCGGCTTAGGCTGCTGCCCCAGCGAACCGACAGGGCTGAAAAAGGATGGATGGATATCAACATCCCATTTAAAAATATCCATACTTTCTGAAAAAAATGTTTTATCTCAATTTAGAAAACAATATTGTGTATTTTGTTGTCCATAAATCTGTAATAGTAAATATTTAGGAGGTGTTAGTTTATTCAAACACGTGCAGTCCAAAACAAGAAACCCATAAAATAGCAAATCCATATAAAATAGTGATCAAAAGGAAATAGGATGATGCAATAGCTTTAGATCCCACACATTCTGTCCAGATCAAAAGTGCAAGTAAACAATTGACCCGTGTGTTTGCAGGTATCCTAACGCAGACAGCACAAGTCCACACAGGTGCAAATAGTTAGCATGAAGGTGTTTTCTCCATTAGTAAATATTTATGAAGAGAAAAAAGCCGTACTGACTCTGAAACAGGTCTAATCTTAGAGTTCTGAGTGATCCAGGCTGGGTTTTAATTCTCTCAGCGTTTCTTTAATGTGCTTTAGAAGGGTTCAGCTTTTATTTATATGACGCAAGACAACCCCAGACCCTGGTCTGGGTTTTAGCACGAACCCGTCTAATTACTTTGAAACCTGCTTTTGACCAGCATGCTTTTAATGACTCGGATTTTGTGCTCCGTTTCATATCAGATTCCTCGTCACGACACAAAAATCCTCACCAGAACCATCACAAACACTTCCTTTAAACAGTTTTTTTTCCTTAATGAAGTTTTGATCAAATCTTAATCTTTCTTTTTGTTCCCTTGGTAATATTAACATTAAGGAGAAGGAGGAGTAGAAAATGAAGAAACTGGATTTCTATAGTTAAAGGAGGTTCTTTGTAGAAACACTTTTGTTGCCATTAAAGAATTGGGAATGTGCGCCCTCCACTGGCACTAAACAGAACTGCACTCTGCTCTCCAACAGCGTTTAGAAACGACGGGACGACCTGGAGTTGCTGCCCTCTAGTGTCTAAAATCTGTTGCTACACATTTGTATTTTAGCCATTTAGACGAGAATATTTTAGCCTCCTTATCTTAATGAAGAAAATTGTAATCGTTCTCAGTGGCAGAATTTTTTGGGTGGAGACCGTTTCTCTTGTCGGTGTTTCTGAGCTCTGGGGATTTTGAAGTTAATAATAAAACAAGAAAGCTAAAAAACTGCCTTGTTTCTTGCCATAAAAACACCAAGCTGTACTAGCATACTTGTTTGTTATATGGTTATTTAGGTGTCATGTTAGGAATTATGGCAGGAAAAATGCCAACAACTGGTTGGAAACATAAAACTGATCCCTCGGGATCAAGCACTGCTGGTCTTTTGGAGGCATGGGGAAACTGAATCTGAAGTTAGCTTCAGTCTCCACAGCTTTCTTAGGGTTTCATACCGGGCCATTTTCAACCCGATGGTTTCAACTGGTAAACTAACTTCTCTAATGTCGCATTTACAAAAACTAGTTTTTCTGTTTTCGAAAATTAAAGACCATCACAGATTGTCTTTACTTTTACCTAAAGCCGCCTTCTTAATAAACCCGCCCACGTATATTTATTTTTCAGGAAACAGACTCTCTATTTTAAATTGGAAAAAGCCAAAATAAATGTATGTAGAGTAGACGTTGAAAGTTTGGACGTTTCCGGAGCAGTCCAAGAAGGCATCATAACTGTTATTTTGGTTTTCCCAGTTTGTTTCTTTTTCTGCAAATCGCAGTGGAAAGTAACTGGTGAACAAATATCAGCAAAAGTTCTAAAACTCCGAGAAAGCTCGCGACCATGGCAGATCAGCCCGGTTCTACACACAAAGATGAGAAGTCTTTGTATCTGGCACAGATTCAGTATTTAACGGAGCAGTTGGAAAGGTAAAACAGCCTTTTCTGTCAAAAACAACTCATAAAAGTATTAGAAGTTCTAGAAAAACAGTACTAGTTTAAATGTATTCAATATGGACGAATTGTTGATTTAAAAAATACTTTTGTGTGTTTTTACCTTTTATATTGTGATGCTAACCAAAGTAGCTTAGCAACTCAATTAGCATCATGGTTAATGTTAGCTGCAAATGGTACATAGATAGTCCCCCACCTTGTATCCTCCTTGCAAAATGTTGGCTACATTTTATATATATATATATATATATATATATATATATATATATATATATATATATATATATATATATATATATATATACTTACAGTGGGTACAGAAAGTATTCAGATCCCTGTGAATTTTCCACTCTGTTAAATTGCAGCCATTTGCTAAAACAATTCAATTGAATATTCCTCATTAATGTGCACACACCACGTCATTTTGACAGAAATTTAGAAATTTCTGCAGTTATTAAAAAGACAAACTGAAATGGTCCTAGTATTCAGACCCTTTGATCAGTAGAAGCACCTTGTGAGACAAAACAGCCACGAGTCTTCTTACGCCTGGATTTGGGTTCCTCCACCATTCCTCCTTGCAGATCCTCTCCAGTTCTGTCAGGCTGGATGGTGAACGTTGGTGGAGACATTTTTAGGTCTCCAGAGATGTTTGCTTGGGTTTAAATCAGGGCTCTGTTGTGGAGGTGTCAATAAAGTGTCATTATGAAATAAATCAGCCATGGGAAAAAACACTGTTATGAAATAAAAGCTGTCTTTGTTAAAAAAAAGACGTTATGTAATAAAAACTGAATGAATGAAATAAAAATGACTCAATATTAATTTGGATTATTATGAAAAAATGATTTTTGAAAAAAACGTTATATTAATAAAGGCATTTTAAAAGAAGAATGAAAAATATTTCATAATATTGAGCTTAGATTTTACATAACATTCTGTTATTTCATAATTTCGTTGTCAGATTACACGATTGTCTGGTATTTCTTCATATAGATATTTATTTCATAATGTCTTATTTATTTATTGAATTTTGAATACTTTTGAGTTCCATATCATCAGACCAGAGAATCTTATTTGTCACCACCTCGGGGCCCTTCAGGTGTCTTTTAGCAAACTCCACGCAGGCTTTCATGTGTCTTGCACTGAGGAGAGGCTTCTGATGGGCCACTCTGGCTTAAGCCCTGACTGGTGGAGGAGCTGCAGTGATGGTTGACTTTCCACAACCTTCTCCCATCTCCTGACTGCATCTCTGGAGCTCAGCCACAGTGATTTTGGGTTCTTCTTTACCTCTCACCAAGGTTCTTCTCTCCCGGTAGATCAGTTTGGCTGGATGGCCTGCTCTAGGAAGGGTTATATATATATATATATATATATATATATATATATATATATATATATATATATATATATATATATATATATATATATATATATATATATATATTGTTCTGTGTTTTTCTTTCAATATGGGGTGCTGTGTGTACATTAATGAGGAAAAAATGTATTCTTTAACAAACGGCTGCAATAAAACATGAAACATTCACAGTGGTCTGAATACTTTCTGTACCCTCTGTGCATATATGCTCGTTAATGCAAATTACTAATCAGCCAATCACATGGTGGCAACTCAATGCTTTTTGGCATGTTTACATGGGCAAGACTATCTGCTGTAGTTCAAACCAAGCTTCAGAATGGGGAAGACAGACGATTTAAGTGACTTTGACCGTGGCGTGGTTGTTGGTGCCAGACGGGCTGAGTATTTCAGAAACTGCTGATCTTCTGGGATCGTCACGCACAACCATCTCTACAGAAAATGGTCCGAAAAAGGGAAAACATCCAGTGAGCGGCAGTTCTGTGGGCGAAAAGGCCTTGTTGATGCCAGAGGTCAGAGGAGAATGGCCAGACTGGTTCGAGCTGACAACTCGTTACAACCAAGGTGTGCAGAAGAGAATCTCTGAACACACAACATGTCAAAATGGCAGATGGGCGACAGCAGCAGAAGACCACACAGTTCACACGGGCTCACCACAAGTGGACAAAAAAAGATTGGAAAAATGTTGCCTGGTCTGATGAGTCTCCATTTCTGCTGCGACATTTGGATGGTAGGGTCAGAATTTGGCGTCAACAACATGAAAGCGTGGATCCATCCTGCCTTGTATCAACGGTTCAGGCTGGTGGTGGTAGTGTGATGGTGTGGGAGACATTTTCTTGGCACACTTTGGGCCCCTTAGTACTAATTGATCATCGTTGCAACACCACAGCCTACCTGAGTATTGTCGCTGACCGTGCCCATCCCATCTGATGGCTTCTGATGGCTACTTCCAGCAGGATAATGCTCCCTGTCATAAAGCTCGAATCATCTCAGACTGGTTTCTTGAACATGACAAAGAGTTCACTGTACTCATCCAACAGAGCACCTTTGGGATGTGGTGGAACGGGAGATTCGCATCATGGATGTGCATCTGACACATCTGCAGCAACTGCAGGATGATATCATGTCAATATGGACCAAAGTCTCTGAAGAAGGTTCCCAGTAGCTTGTTGAATCCATGCCATGAAGGATTAAGGCAGTTGTGAAGGCAAAAAGGGGTCCAGAGAGGCTAAAGCACCTGGTGTGTCTTATGATTGAACAGAACATCAACAGACAGGTGGATGTAATGTTTCAGTCATCACTAACGTTGCATTAGTACAATTGAAACGTTTGCAGCCCTACTTATGATCAAAAACTGACTACAACACACATGCCATGTCTGCTGCAGATTTCAGCTCACATTCGAAGAGCTGGAAGAGGAGAACGCTAGGCTTGTGTCTGAGCGCAACGCTTTTGAGAAAGAAAACAAAGGCAAGGTTGAAGAGCTGAGATGCCAAGTTGATGTAAAACAGGAAAAAGTGTGCCAGATGTTTGAACAGCTGGAGGGTCTGCGGCTCGACCAACTTGCGTCAGAAGAGCGTCGGCAGGAGCTGCATAAGCTGATAGATCAACTCCACTCACAGAAGGTCAAACTGGGTGAGACACTCTTCTTTTAGCTGCCTGGACTTTCATTCCTCATGAACTAGCTTTATATTTGTTCATTATATTGTTATATATTGTTCAGTGCTATTCTTTGACAACTTTAATGGTATTTTTGAGTAAGTTTTCACAAATTCATCTAAATGTAAACTCACGATTGGAGATGCTGGTTGTTAAGAGATGAAAACTAGATAAATGAGAAGCTAAATAGAATGTGAAGAGTCACATTTGTGGGTTTTAAATGTTTCTGTAAGACTTGACAGTTTTGGCACGTTGTAACACCCTCTAGCATCCATTTTAAACTTACAAGCACAGGAGGATGATTGTGAGGTCTGCATCCAGTTTCTGAGCCATCATCATTCAGAAAACTCCCGACCTGGACTCTTGTTTCCTATATTGGTCAGACATTCTTTGGCCCTGTCCACACGTAGCCGGGGATCTGCCCAAACGTAGATATTTTTCTACGTTTTGGCCTGTCATCCACACGAAAACAGAGTTTTTTCACACAAAAACGGATCTTTTTAAAAACTCCGGCCAAAGTGAAGATCTGCGTTTTCTCCGTTTTGGGTGTCTGCGTGTGGACGGACAAAACCGGAGTTTTAAGGTCCGCAACGTCACTTTCCGCGACAAAAAAAATGCTGACATCAGGTGTGCGACCTGTGTTTACACTAGCCGACAGCATGGATGCCCTCAGAGCTGCACTCGCTTTATCAATTGTCCAAGCGCTTTCTGCTTGTTTGTTTTTGCAAGCGGAATTACTGCTCCTTGCGGAAGACCACAGACGAAGGACGAGGTTAAGAACGGGGGAAGTACTGCCGCCTACAGGTCTGGCATGTCCTTAACAACGTATTTATCCGGGTACGTGTGGACAGAGTTTTTTTTTAAACGAGGTGGTGTGGATGCAAGTTTTTGGAGGGGCGGATATTCGTTTTTGAAAAAACCCGGCTACGTGTGGACTAGGCCTTTATCTCTTTAGCTTCATCAGATGGAGGTTTTCTTTGTTTCTACAGAGGCTCCGACCATGATGAGCACGATACAATAAACACCAACTATCTCATGTTTGTCTGTCCTGAGGGGTAAACATGAATTACCATTAGCGATGTTTCAATCATGGTTTTTTTGCTCCCGATTTGAGTCCATATTTGCCACTACCAAGTTCCGATCCCACTCTTTAGAAACACGCTGAAGTAAGAAAAAAGGGGAACCCACCTGACTTGTCCTTTAATCATTTGTGTTTCTTTCTGCATTTATTTCATATCTTGACTGTTTTTGCATCTGTAGATGATTTCTCTGTGTTTTTATCCAAGTTGCTGCAGTGCTCTGAGTAGGGTTTGTTTTTAAACTGGCGTATTGGAGTCATAGTCCTGAACGCAGCTCTAGCTTTTCCACCACTTTAAATTCCCAGTCTGCACACATTACGAGTGGCTGTTACCCTGCCTTCACTGTCCGCTTAAAAAAATGTCCAAACCAGACATTTTCTTCCTCCTGAGGGCACACATTAGCTCATCTTTAGCCTGCAAGCTAACAGCTACGTGTTATGGTGTTTGAATCACAGACATCCTATACAGAGTTCAAATTACGGGGGAGCAAAGGGGAGCCCGGCTCCCCCGAAACAGTGACAGGCTCCCCTGGAAGCCCTTCACTTACACACCCGGGGGCAACTTGTATACGAGGCTGAAGTTATCTTCCGGCTCCAGCTTCTGATTGGGGATATGGCTAAAGGGCAATTACACCCAATTTTTTCTCTACTCTGACCATCTTTAAAGTGCTCTAGCTCGAAAACTACAACACCCACACTCTTCAAACCGGTACTAGTGTTGCAACCCCAAAAGTATAACAGACTATCGTTTATGTTTGGTTAATATCTTCTAGTGCTTCCTGTGTTTTATTTGTGCCTGATGTGCCCCCCCCCCCCCGACCACACACACACACGGTCCCCGTCTCACTGGGCTCCCCGGAAGCCTCTATGTAATGCATACCCTGATCTGATCCTATTTAGGTGTCAATACCATATAATATCTACGGTCTAAATTCCCTGGCTGCCTTAAATTCTGGGATGTTACGTGTTGTTGTCTGCAGGGTTGTTTGTCAGCCGTTCACTGGCCGTCAGAGCAGGTGGGGTATTGATTGTTCAGTGTCAGAGATTGGAGGTGTGGCGATTTGAGAGCGTGTGAAGATGGTCGGATGTGTGAGAGTTGGCAGCCCTGCGTCTGTGAAAAATTCAATTCAATTCAAGTTCATGTATAAGGCGCCAAATCACGACAAGAGTCGTCTCAAGGCACTTCACATAATAAACATTCCAATTCAGGTCAGTTCATTAAGCCAATCAGAAATAATGTTTCCTATATAAGGAACCCAGCAAATTGCATCAAGTCACTGACTAGTGTCAGTGACTATACAGCAATCCTCATACTAAGCAAGCATATAGCGACAGCGGGGAGGAAAACTCCCTTTTAACAGGAAGAAACCTCCAGAGAATCCTGGCTCCGTATAAGCAGCCATCCTCCACGATTCACTGGGGATCGAGAAGACAGAGGAGGCACGCACACACACACACACACACACACACACACACACACACACACACACACACACACACACACACACACACACAACAAAGTCATGTGTCTATAGTTATATTGCGATTTCTTAGTAAATATTCTATTTGGTGAGAGATAAACTTTATTGTATTTAGTGGATCTATAATTAAACGGATAAACTAGTAGTAGCACATTCAACGTCAAGGAAAGCAAAAAGTTATTATCTTGGTGAAATAAATCCTGCTGTAGAGGAACTTGTTGAAATTAAAACTAACCATTGATATTTTGTTTGAATTTTGACTGGATGATTTTAAAAAGTCATGTCTGTTGTTTCATAAGATTATAGCCGCTCTTATTGATCCCATTCCAGATCCTCTGAAAATCCAGTGATCGGAGCGGAGCCTCCCTAAGTACAGCAAGGTGTTACTGCTGCTCATGAGACTTCAGGTCACCGGTCTGGAGAGTCTCAAGTTGTGAATGCGGTATTCTGCCTGCAAGGGGCAGAGGAGGCTGAGAGACTAACCGTTAAACCTTGTTAATCAGGGGTATACAATTTCGGGCTTGGCAGCATGTTTTAGTGGTTTCTCTGCTCCAACACACCTGATTCAGTTGTTGAACCCCCTGTGCAGCAGCTCATCAGGCTCTGCAGAAGCCTGTTAATCACCTGCCGATTTGAAATCAGGTGTGTTGAAGCAGGTAAAAATTAAAACGTGCTGGATGCCGGCCCTCGCAGACAAGAATTGAATACCCCTGCTATAAAGGGTCGTTTTAGCGCCTACTGGCTATTTAAAAATATGAAAAAGTAACTTGTATGCCTTTTAATTTAAAAGTGTTTTAGTGTTCACAGAGAGCTGGAACAAAGCCATTTTCAGTTCCATCTTGAGATGTTTCATCAGGCTCTAGTCTGTTCTGGCTGGATCTAGCCTCTGTTATCTTGGTGTGAGGAACAGACCTCACACACGACACTAGGGGGCAGCATAAAGTCTCAAATCCATTCTTACGAGAGCTTTTTGGGGTGTACCTGCAGGTGACATGAAGCATTAGCTGTCCCTGCCGGCCCTACATTTTTGGCTTCAAAGCAGCGTTATTTTTTATTCAGCACAGTTTTGCTAGCAAACCCATCAGGAGTTGGAGTTAGCTTTCCCTTGAGAGGGGATTGGACCTCAGTGTGTCGCGTCAGGCTTTACTCATGAAATAAATAATAGTAAAATAATAATGGTCCATAACCCTCACTGGGGTCAGCAGGTCACCGCTGCCTGTGAAAACGCTATAAATGTGTTTTTGTAAATCAGATATTTCAAATCAAATCAAACTTTATTTATAAAGTACTTGTCATACAAAAAATGTAACTCAAAGTGCTTAACAGATTAATAAACCCCCATATCCCACAAATATCATTGACAAGTAACCCCCCCCCCCAACCCAGTGACAGACACACACACACACATGCACACACACACGCGCGCACACACACATACCCACACGTGCACACATGCACACACACATACCCACATGCACACACACACACATACACACACACATAAACACACACACACACATGCGCACACACACACCCACACGCACACATACACATACACGCACGCACACACACATGCGCACACATGCACACACACATACCCACATGCACACACACACACACACATAAACACACACCCACATGCGCACACACACACACACCCACACATACACACACGCGTGCACACACACACACACACACACACACACACACACGCACACACACGCATACCCACATGCACACACACATACCCACATGCACACATACACACACACATGCACACACATACACACACACATGCACACACGCATACCCACATGCACACACACATACCCACATGCACACACATACACACACACATGCACACACACATACCCACATGCACACACATACACACACACATGCACACACACATGCACACACATACACACACACATACCCACATGCACACACATACCCACATGCACACACATACACACACACATACACACACACATGCACACACATGCACACACACATACCCACATGCACACACACATACCCACATGCTCACACACATACCCACATGCACACACACATGCACACACATACACACACACATACCCACATGCACACACATACACACACACACATGCACACACACACATGCACACACACATACCCACATGCACACACATACACACACACACATGCACACACACGCGCACACATGCACACACACGCGCACACATGCACACACCCATACCCACATGCACACACATACACACACACATGCACACACATGCACACACACATACCCACATGCACACACATACACACACACATGCACACACACATACCCACATGCACACACACACATGCACACACACACACACACACACTTGAGATTATAAGTTAACACCGGATTGAGCTCAGATGAGTTGGGTACATAAGATATGTAATATTGGAAGGATGCCTCACCCTGGGTGTGCATCCTGACTTTAAGGATCACAAGCAGACGCTGCCAGAGGAGCACAGAGGCCACGAGGGTTTGCGTGTTAAAAGCAGTTCTGAGCGGTAGGAAGGGCCAAGACCATTAAGACGCTTAAAAAACATGAAACCCTTTGGATTCTCTTTCCCTTCCCTTAGACACAGATTTGGAAGCTATGAACAAGGAGCTGGCTCTCTTGTGCCAGCAGCAGTCTGAACAGAAGTGCGTGGAGGAGCTGGACACCCCGTCTGCAGAGGGTGGACCTGCCACAGGTGTCACCAGGTAAAGATTATTGTTATTAAACATACTTTTACTGGAGAAATGTGTCGATTTAAAGTTTTCATCCTACAATATGAACCTCACGTTCTGCACACACAGTCCGGATGAGGATCTGCTGCAGGTTTACGAGCGTTTAGTAGAATTCTTGAAAACGACGGCTGAGGCCAAAGTAGAGCATCTGAGGAACTTGGACCTGATTGTTAAAGATGGAAAAGAGCTCAATTATCTGCTGGGAAAAAAAGAGATCCTGCAACAAGAAACAACTGCTCTGAATGACCACATCAGTGATTTAAACGCCACCCAGAAAGACATGGAGGACGAGATGAAGAAGATGAAACAGGAGATGCGGTTCCTCGACAAGGTAAAAGAACATCATCAGATCCAGAACCAGGGACTAGATCACGTCAGATACTTTAGTGCATATCTTTACTGGTTAAATGTAAGAAAAAAGCAGTCAGTGCTTTTTGAGTCAGAGTTCTTTATAAAGAAATCCGTCTTAAGGGAAAACAACAGTCCATAACTTATCCAAACCAAATCAGCTGTATGGGATTGTTTTGGGGGAGAACACCTGAACAGAAAGGTCTGGGCTGCTTTTACGTTCTCTCTCTATCTTAAGGAGTTGGGCACAATCAACCAGGTGTTTCGAAGGCTTCAAACACAGAGAGACGAATATTCCGACAAGCTGCAGAGTGCGAAGAATGACTCTGACGCTCTCAGGTAGATATTTAATCTCTTTACTGATCAAACATGAGTGACAGAGGCAGCTTTTATCATAAGCACAACCCCATGTATGTGTGTGTGTGTGTGTGTGTGTGTGTGTGTTTGTGTGTGTGTGTGTGTGTGTGTGTGTGTGTGTGTGTGTGTGTTAGAAAAATATCTCATGACGTGTTGGAGGGACAGCAGTAGCTCAGGGTGTAGAGTGGTTTGTCCATCCATCCATTTAGAGACATGAAACCAGACGTGGTTTTGAGTTTGATGGGTAACAATGCATGTTGGTCACGGCACAAATGCAATTACCCAAATACCTAACCTCCCTAAACATCACCAGCTACCGATCAACAACGATGGGAATAAAGAAAAGAAAAAAAACAATAAGTAAATAAACAAAGTGCCCATTAAGATCGTCAAGACTTCCGAATCTGAGAGTTCTGAGTAATACTGGAGGAAAGGCCCCACAACCTGTAGAACGTTATTTACAGAGTGATGCGTCTTTTTGAGATTTAGACGTGACATGGGGTCCCTCATCCGTTGCACATGTGTAGGTGGGGTTGGAAAATGCTAACGCAGGGATCAGGTGGGAGCCTATTTTTCCCAGTGGTGCCACCACAAACACAACAGCAGCCCCAGCTCTGCAGCAGACATGGAACAGATATTTAATGTGGTATAACTGGAAAGTCCTCGTAACACACATAACATAAGGGCGACAGTGACAGAGGAGTCAAGGCCTGCTCTGTAACTGGAGGGTTGCAGGTTCAAGACCCACTCAGTCTGTGGAAGTAGTTGTGTCCACTTCCCTCCTTGCCTGATGGAGGTGGTTGGCGGTATCGGTGGTGCCTGTGTGCTCCAGGGCAGCTGTGGCTAGGATGTAGCCCTAGTACTGATGTACACCTGTACCATTACAGCCCCAATAGTTGTACAAATCAAGAAAAGTTCTTTACTTATCAAATAGTCTACTTGGCCCAGTGGAGTTGAGTACTGGTGCAGTGACTTTTCTCTGCTGTGGTTCAGGCAGGAGTTTGACAAGGTCTCTGAAGTTTATCATCAAAGAGTGGCTAAGAGGCGACGCCTGCAGGTGGAGCTTCAGGAGGAGATGGCCAGGAGAAGGCAGCTGGAAGGGTTGAAGCAGGAGGCAGCTGTCATCCTCAGACAGATCATAACGGTAAAAACAGCCCAGATAGTCAGAGACCAGGAGTTCACATCATACTGAACTCATGGACGCATTTATTTGCGTCAGTTATGCTTCCAGTTCTGTAAGAAACGAGGAATCTTTGTGATGATTCAATTCAATTCAATTCAAGTTTATTTATATAGCGCCAAATCACGACAAGAGTCGTCTCAAGGCACTTCACATAATAAACATTCCAATTCAGGTTGTCGCGTGCCCGTCCCATTTGTCGGTTCCGTTAAAACCCAGTTCCGTTAGAACTTATGAGACGGTGCATCTATCAGGGTTCGGGGGGATATCGGCGAGTTTAATCGTACTAGACCCGGGTTTGGACTATCTAATTAGAATCTTGTCTTTTATTTTAAAGGTGAAATGACTTGCACGAATAGCCAGCCCCAGAGTACTACACTTCTTTTAAACTCGTTACCTTTTGGTTAAGATACTAGAGAGAAGTCTGGAGGCAAGCCACGCCTCTCAGCAATTGTTTGGGTTACCCGGAATTAATTGCGCCTCTAACAGCTTATGTGGGAGGTTGGTAACTATAAAATGATTTATGCTAGTTGATCAGGCTATCATAAGTTTATCAATTTATTTATTAATCCATCCTTCCAGCTGTTAGAGACTTTTTCAACCTGCAATCAGAGCCAAAATAACCTCTAATATCCTGTTTTTATCGCCCTTAAGACAACTCGTTACTCGCAAGGAGGGGGAAGTTAAAACTTCCCTTATCTTAAGGTTTCTTTATATTATTCTATTGCAAACTGTAAAGTAAGTCCTGATAATTCAGAGACCTGTGATCGACATGCTTACCTCTGTGCAATTATGGCCAGGGCTCCAAACGTGAAGCTTTAGAGAAAACCTGAAAGAATCAGGATTATGTTTCTTTTTCAAAAAAGATTTATTACAAAATCAAAATACAAAAATGGGTAAATAAAAAACAACTGCTATCCCCCAAGGAGGAATTAGTTCAAAATGATTAAATAAGAGTTAGTTTACACCAGCTCTTGTCTTCTCAGAATCTCCCCAAAACAGCTCCCTCTCTCTTCTTCCAAGAGTCCTCTCGCCCGATCTGAGCTGCATCCTTTTATATCATTCCTGAGACTGCTCTAAACAATGAAAGAGTCACAAGTCATCCTCTCCTGACAGTTTAGGTCAAGGGGTCATTTACCAAATACACTTTTTTAGCTCTACATAAGACATTTGGTATCATTTTCACTACATGCAGTATTCACATGAGGGCACAAAAGTTCATGCTGCACTCCTGGAAAGGGAGCACAGGCCATAAATCTTCATGTTGGTAGCAAATTGTAGATCTCCCTTCAGCATTCCTGAGAACTTCTGGGTCCAGATGGACTGTCCTCACTCCATTCCAGTCCTTCTTTTCCCGCCAGAGGTGGAGTTAGGGGCAGGATCATGGGTGTGTCCATGGGTGGATCCACAGAAGCCAGCCTGTCTTTTGACCCTTTGCCTAGTTCTGTCCTCACCAGCAAGTCCTGAACTATTGTCCTCTTGACCCTTGTGTGACCCTTGTCTCTGACCACTGTTTCTAAGCCTTGACCGGCTGCTGGGACTTGCAACAAGGTCAGGTCATTAAGCCAATCAGAAATAATGTTTCCTATATAAGGAACCCAGCAAATTGCATCAAGTCACTGACGAGTGTCCATCCTAATCAAAACAAAAACCTTATATCTGTAGATCTGGACTTTCAGCGGCACCGTCTGCATTCTTGGAAAAAGCTGTTCAAGCAATCTACATAAAAAAGAACAAAGTCTAATTAAAAGGTCCTACCCCTTTATTAATCCTCCCGCTACAGCCACAGACCATTGTGGTTGCCCTGCTGAGCGGCTTAGGTCAGGGTTTCCAGAACAAACTCGGAAGCGTACCTCCTCCCACTCGCCCCCACCCCCGAGCATTCATAGTGTCTGGTGTTTTTATGGTGAAAAAAGAGGACGTTCTTTTATTTCTTGTTTGTTTTTTTCTTAACTGCAAAATCACGAGAGCTCAGCGCCACGACAGTCTGGGGAAACCCCACCATGTGGTGACATGTCGTGCATGCACACACATTCATTCTCGCGTTGCATGAACAGCAGACTTTTCCTGGGAATGACTCCTTCACCTAAATGCTTTCCAACAACAGCAGAACCAGACTAAACAGAAGATGGAAAACCACTGCGTAAAGGTGTTGGCCAGACTCCGCATTAAAACAGTAGAAATGCTGTAGAACTTCACTTTACCACCTATATGAAATGAACTGGCTTCAGTTTTTCATTTTGTTAAAGAGCAAGTCACCCCCCCAATCAACTTTTGTTCTGATAAACTATATAAATGCGTGTCTAATCGTGCTGCAGACACATGTAGTCAATAGTTTGGCACTTTAGTGCATTTTAGATAAAATGTAAATTGGGGAAGTGGGAGCGGAGTAATACTCTGCTTCCTCTTCAGCACATCCTGAGCTCCTTCAAAGGAATCTACCATCTTTATGCAAATGACATCCAACTGTACATCTCCTTCAAGCCCCATGAGATGTCTAAGCTGCGGCTGTTACACACCTGCTTAGACTCTATCAACACCTGGATGGTGGGAGGTTTCTTCAGCTGAATGAAGATAAGACTGAGATCCTCATCTGTGCCCCAGACAAGCTGGTTCCCAAAGTCAGAGACTCTCTTGGTCAACTTGCTTCTCACACCAAACCTTCCATCGGGAATCTTGGTGTGACCTTTGACCCAGCTTTCACCCTGGATTCTCATGTCAGTTCTCTTGTTGGCTCTTCCTTCTTCCATCTCAGGAACGTTGCTAAGCTGAGTCCCATTCTGTCTCGCTCTGAACCTGAGACTGTTCTCCACACCTTCATCTCCTCACGCTTAAGCCTGATTCATGCTTGTCCATCTGCGTCAGTGCGGAGACACGCAATGTCCTTGTGGAGCTGCCGGAGAGCTCCGCAAGGACGGACGGAGTCGAGCTCTCTTTTCTAAACATCCGTCAGTCGAGACGGACAATGCAAGCTTGTGATTGGTCAGGACGCCGCTGTTGTCTACACCGCCGCCATTGCGCCTTCAAAAACATAAAGAGAGCTGAGGATAACTAGCGGCAGACACGGAGAAGCTTGAAGAATACCTCGCGAAAAAACTCTAAAAACATGAATGTTTAATTCTCCCGTGACTGGAGGAGTGAAAAGATGCGCAGCAAGTGTTTTATTTGCGGACGGAAATGACAGGAAACATGGGTTTAGAGGTGGGGAGCGCATGAAGAGGTGGAGGAGAATGAGAGATGAATTTGTCTGTGTTAAAAAGTCTCTTATATACAAAAAACACAATATAAACACACTATCTTGGACCGATACATGACAGGATACCACAGAACTGCGCTACGCCCTCTGTTGTCCTGCCGGGGAATTGCTTTGCAACACTCTCAAGGAGACGGAAAAGTATGAAAGCAAAACGCTTCCGTCAATCCGTGCGTGTCTGTCCCTTGCGGAGCTGACGGAGAAGCATGAACCAGGCTTAAGACTACTGCAACTCTCTTTTCACGTGTCTGAGCAGAACCTCCCTGAACCGTCTACAGGTGGTTCAGAACGCCTGTGCTCGGCTTCTGACCAAGTCCTCCAAACACACCCACATCACCCCGCTTCTCCTCCAGCTTCACTGGCTGCCAGTCAACTTCAGGGTTCATTTCAAGATCCTGGTTCTGGTCTATAGGGCCTTACATGGACAAGCACCATCTTACATTGGTGATCTTCATAGTCCCTACACCCCCAGCAGGTCCCTGAGGTCCAGTGATCAAAGCCTACTGGTTGTGCAGCACCAGGCTAAAGGTCAAAGGTGACAGATCATTTGCTGCTGTGGCTCCCAGACTCTGGACCTCCCTCCCCCTGAGCCTGAGATCAGTGGACTCAGTGGTCTCCTTTAAAAAGCAGCTGAAGACTCACTTGTTCAACCTTTTGTATGACCTTCTTCACCACTCTCTCTTTATTCTGCTCTCCCCACCTATTCCACCTTCCTCAGGGTCCACTGATTTCCCTCTTTCCTGTTCACTCTCTCTCTCTCTCTTTACGTTTTTAATCACAATTTTTAATTTTTTGCTCATTTTAAATATATTTTTAACCATCTTCTAAATTATTTTTGTTTTTACATTTTTAGTTTTTGTGAAGCGCCTCGTGATTTTTATCTTGAGAGGCGCTATAGAAATGATATTTTCTTCTTCTTCTTCTACTTCTACTACTTCTACTACTACTACTACTACTACTACTACAGGGGGTGACTTGCTCTTTAAGGAATTTAAATCATAACAGAAAAAACAAATCCTCTCCTCCAGACACGTTTCCACTGTTGTACAATTTACATGGCTCCACCTAGTCTCCCCTGTTTTTTAATAGGGAGCCTGAGACTCCGCCCCTTCCAGTTGGCTCATGGGTCGCTGAACGGGCTAAAAGAGCTTTTTCTACGCCCTGAATCACACACGCTATACTTTATCAGTTTATAAAGTTTGTAATTAGCATGACTACAAATCAGACGTCGGTTTGTTGCATGTCCACAGAATCTCCTCCTCCCTAGCGTAGCTGCTGCTCACCACATGACCAGATTTATGGTGGTTCTTTCCTCCTGAAGGAATGATTTGGAGTTTGCCGAACTTACAGCCATTTTCCCCCTGTTTTTCTCCGTGTTTGGTCTGATACGCATTTGCAGTTCTGGACTTATTTTCACACAAGACCTAAAATAGCGTTTCCCTCCGTTCGAAAATAAATGCGTTCTTGGCATCAGAAGGTGTCTTTCAAATTCACGGACATCTAATGTGAAATCCATGGCTCACAACAAGTGGGATTAGAAAATAGTGTTTTCAGCCAGATTGACTTGCGTTCATTTTTTCATTCTTCCGGGGACTCGTGGTCCGGAAGTCGACGGGTGGGACTTAGACTGGCTTTTGCTTAGTTGTGTGTTGTGTTTACTCATCCCTGGGCGTTTTCCTCTACTGCAGGATCCACAGAAACCATCTAAGGCTCAGTGGAAGATGCAGAAGTTGGTGAAGGTCCTGGGAAGAGGAGCTGAAGCAGGTTTGACTAAAATGTGTCATTAAACCATTCAAATATGAATTCCACTAAACAGAGATGCAAACGTTAGGTTGTAGAACCCCCCTCAGGTTCTGACTGGTAGCCAAACACACACCAACACATGCAGTGGTGCTGCTGGGACCAGCGGGCTCTTCCTGTGGAAGGGAAGGAAGTGAGCAGCACCAGCTCTCATTTGCATCAACGACCCAGCCAAGAGGAGCAGCAAGGGTGGACTAAATAAAACCAATCATTCATAATACAGTTAAACAGCTTTAATGATGTCATGTCCCGAACCCCCCAAGGTGCTTTACAAGATCCCAGTCATTCACCCCTTCACACACTGATGGTGATGAGCTATGTCGTAGCCACAGCTGCCCTGGGGCACGCTGACAGAAGCAAGGCTGCACACAGGCTCCGCCGGTCCCTCTGACCACCACAAGCAGGCATGGTCTTGCTCAAGGACACAACGGCTGTCACAGACTGAGCAGGACGCAAACCTGCAGCCTTCTGGTCATGGGGTGGGCTCATAAGGACCGTCTGACTCTTTGGACATGTCTTTAGTCCATCACAGGACAGAGACAAACAATATGCTAACTCCATGCAGAAAGCTCACAGCCAAGACTCAAACCTGCAACCCTCTTGCTGTGATACAGCAGAGCTAGCGGCTGTACCACCGTGATTTATAACTGTTTGAGCGTAATCCCACAGCCTTTGGATGCTTTTGTTTAGAAATGTGTATCGGTGAAATTCTGGCGATACGATACGTATCACGGTACGATATATCACGATATATTGCGATCCATTCAGCCAGACGATATTAGCGATTGTTTTAGACTGAATTTATTGTAGGAAAATTCAATAAGCAGTCCAAAGTGATCCGTAGCATGTTTAACACGAGGTATCTGAACCATAACAGAGGGATTAACATTTCAGTGGTGGAAACAAAACCCACTGCACACTGCTGCCAACTAGCTGTCGGCGTTTGAACTGCACCAAAAGAAAAGAAAATACACGAATGTTTGCTTGTAAGTTCTTCCAAAAAATTCGATACACAGCTTTTGAATATCGATATGATATCGCAGGAAAAAATATCATGATAAATTGCCTTATCGGTATTTTCTTACATCCCTACTTTTGTGTTTCATGTAATCCTTTTATGTTTTTTTCTGTTTGCGTTGCTCAGACGACTCGTGTGAGGATGCATCCGACCTCGTTGACCCGGCTGACCCGGCTCCTGAGCATGATGATCCTCAGGCAGGAGCCTCCTCTGCTCCACAGAACTGAACTGTTTCAGTTTGTAGGAACTAGTTTCTAACACAGGTGTTTATTCTTGATCCTGGTTAGATTTCATGGACTTACTCTTGCTGTTAAGTCTTATTCTAAGCATTCCTTTTGACATGAATAAAAAGCCTAATTTCAAAACCTAGAACGTTTCTGGAAGCTACAATGCAAATTGACAGCATAGCACTGCTCTTCAATGAGTATCTGTGTATTTTACAACCTCATATTGATTAGTAACACACTGTCAGTGCTGCTTGGAGCCAGTAGGGAAATTAACAGCCTCCTCCAGTCGAGTCATTGGAGAAGCTAGCTACGCTAATCAGACAAACATGGCCAGAGAAAAGTGGTGGCTTTTCGAGACCGTCTCACAGACGTTGAAGGGTTTAATTGAAAAAGCACCATCTCCTATTCAGAAGCAAGCTGTGGAAAACGGTGACTTGTTGAAATCATTGGCAGACCTGCTTTTAAATGGATGGTTGGTTCTGTAAACTCGTTATGGAAAGATCAGCTGCTCACAGACAGGAGGCCCTTGAAGCAGATAAAACTGGATTATCACTGTTTACAAAATGTTATTGTAAGCCAAGGACAAAGGTTGGATTGGTCAACCCAAACGCTCTCATACTTTGAACTGTCGCCACCATTTAAAAATCAGTGAGTCTCACAGTGAGGAGAGGCAGGGCTTGTGCCGACAGTGGATAACAGACACGGTGGGGGACGACTGGACACACGGTGGAGGCGAACATCTGCAGCCTTCACACTCTCACACCATGGAGCTCTATCTGGACCTGATCTCTCCACCCTGTCGCTCTGTCTACCTGTTTGCCACAGCTGTTGGGATCCCCTTTGAGTTTAAGTTGGTGGAGCTCTTAGAAGGTAAGACTACAAAGAAAAGACAGAATAGGACACAACAGGATAGGACACGGCAGGACAGGACAGGAGAGGACAGGACATGACAGTACAGGTACATGACAGGACACAACAGTACAGTACGGGACACGACAGGACATGACAGGACAGGAGAGGACACGACAGTACACGACACAGAAGGAGAGGACATGATGGGACAGGAGAGGATACAACAGGACAGGACAGTACAGGACACAGCAGGACACAACAGGACATGACAGTACAGGACACGGCAGGGCAGGACACGACAAGACAGTACAGGACACGACAGGACAGTACAGGACACGACAAGACAGTACAGGACAGGACACGACAAGACAGTACAGGACACAACAGGACAGTACAGGACACGACAAGACAGTACAGGACACAACAGGACAGGACAGGTCACGACAGTACAGGACAGGACACGACAGCACAGGACAGTACACGACAAGACAGTACAGGTCACAACAGGACAGGACACAACAGTACAGGATACGACAGGACATGACAGTACAGGACGTGACGGGACACGACAGGACAGGACACGACAGTACAGGACAGGACACGACAGTACAGGACGTGACGGGACACGACAGGACAGGACACGATAGGACAGGACACGACAGTACAGGACAGGACACGACAGTACAGGACATGACAGGACAGGACACCACAAACCAGGACAGTACAGGACATGACAGGACACGACAGTACAGGACACGGCAGGACAGGACAGCACAGGACACAACAGTAAAGGAAACAACAGGACAGGACATGACACAACAGTACAGGACATGACAGGACAGGACCTGACAACAGGACGGGAGAGGACACAACAGGACGGGACAGGACAGAACACGACAGGACAGGACAGTAGAGGACATGACAGTACAGGGCACGGCAGGACAGGACAGGAGAGGACAGTGAAGGAACATGACAGGACTCGACAGTACAGGAGACGACAGGACAGGACACAAAAGGACAGGACACGACAGTACAGGACACAACAGGACAGTACAGGGCACAACAGGACAGGACATGACAGGACAGTACAGGACACGACAAGACAGTACAGGACACGACAAGACAGTACAGGACACAACAGGACTGGACAGGTCACGACAGTACAGGACACGACAGGACAGGACACGACAAGACAGTACAGGACACAACAGTACAGGATACGACAGGACATGACAGTACAGGACGTGACGGGACAGGACAGGACACGAAAGGACAGGACACGACAGTACAGGACACGACAGGACAGGACACGACAGTACAGGACATGACAGGACAGGACACCACAAACCAGGACAGTACAGGACATGACAGGACACAACAGTACAGGACACAAAAGTACAGGACAGGACAGGACAGTACAGGACACGACAGTAAAGGAAACAACAGGACAGGACATGACACAACAGTACAGGACACGACAGGACAGGACCTGACACAACAGGACAGGACAGAACACGACAGGACAGTAGAGCACACAACAGGACAGGACATGACAGTACAGGGTACGGCAGGACAGGACAGGAGAGGACAGTACAGGAACATGACAGGACTCGACAGTACAGGAGACGACAGGACAGGACACAAAAGGACAGGACACGACAGTACAGGACACAACAGGACAATACAGGGCACAACAGGACAGACCACGACAGGACAGGACAGTACAGGACAAACCAGGACAGGACAGGAGGGGACATAACAGGACAGGACAGGAGAGGACAGGACATGACAGTACACAACAGGACACGACAGGACACAAGAGGACATTACAGGACATAACAGGACAGGACAGTACAGGACACAACTGGAGAGGACATGACAGCACAGGACAGGACATGATAGCACAGGAAAGGACACGACAGGACAGGACACGGCAGTACAGGACAGGACAGTCCAGGACACAACAGGACAGGAAACGACAGTACAGGTACATGACAGGACAGGAGAGGACACGACAGTACAGTACAGGAGAGGACAGTACAGGACACAGCAGGACAGGACACAACAGTACAGGACACAACAGGACAGCACGGGACACAACAGGACAGGACACAACAGTACAGGGCACAACAGGAAAGGACACTACAGGACACGACAGTTCAGGACATGATAGGACAGGACACAACAGGACATGACAGTACAGGACACGACAGGACAGGACACGACAAGACAGTACAGGACACGACAAGACAGTACAGGACACGACACGACAGCACAGGACAGGACACAACAAGACAGTACATGACACAACAGGACAGGACACAACAGTACAGGATACGACAGGACATGACAGTACAGGACACAACAGTACAGGACACGAAAGGACAGGACACGACAGGACAGGACACCACAAACCAGGACAGTACAGGACATGACAGGACACGACAGGACAGGACAGGACAGTACAGGACACAACAGTACAGGACACGACAGGACAGGACACCACAAACCAGGACAGTACAGGACATGACAGGACATGACAGGACACGACAGGACAGGACAGGACACGACAGGACACGACAGTAAAGGAAACAACAGGACAGGACATGACACAACAGTACAGGACAGGACCTGACACAACAGGACAGGAGAGGACACAACAGGACAGAACACAACAGGACAGGACAGTAGAGCACACAACAGGACAGGACATGACAGTACAGGGCACGGCAGGACAGGACAGGAGAGGAAAGTACAGGAACATGACAGGACTCGACAGTACAGGAGACGACAGGACAGGACACAAAAGGACAGGACACGACAGTACAGGACACAACAGGACAGGACACGTCAGGACAGTACAGGACACGACAAGACAGTACAGGACATGGCAGGACAGTACAGGACACGACAAGACAGTACAGGACACAACAGGACAGGACAGGTCACGACAGGACAGGACATGACAGGACAGGACACGACAGCACAGGACAGGACACGACAAGACAGTACAGGACACAACAGGACAGGACACAGCAGTACAGGATACGACAGGACATGACAGTACAGGACACGACAGTACAGGACGTGACGGGACACGACAGGACAGGACAGGACACGAAAGGACAAGATACGACAGGACACGACAGGACAGGACACCACAAACCAGGACAGTACAGGACATGACAGGACACGACAGTTCAGGACACGACAGTACAGGACAGGACAAGACAGTACAGGACACGACAGTAAAGGAAACAACAGGACAGGACATGACACAACAGTACAGGACACAACAGGACAGGACCTGACACAACAGGACAGGACAGAACACGACAGGACAGGACAGTAGAGGACACAACAGGACAGGACATGACAGTACAGGGCATGGCAGGACAGGACAGGAGAGGACAGTAAAGGAACATGACAGGACTCGACAGTACTTGAGACTACAGGACAGGACACAACAGGACAGTACAGGGCACAACAGGACAGGACACGACAGCACAGGAGAGGACAGGACATGACAGTACACGACATGACAGGACAAACCAGGACAGAACACGACAGGACAGGACAGGAGGGGACATAACAGGACAGGACACGACAGGACAGGAGAGGACAGGACATGACAGTACACGACATGACAGGACACAAGAGGACAGTACAGGACATAACAGGACAGGACAGTACAGGACACAACTGGAGAGGAATTGACAGCACAGGACAGGACATGATAGCACAGGAAAGGACACGACAACACTGGACACGGCAGGACATGGCAGTACAGGACAGGACAGTCCAGGACACAACAGGACAGGAAACGACAGTACAGGTACATGACAGGACACGACAGGACAAGACAGGAGAGGACACGACAGTACAGGACAGGAGAGGACAGTACAGGACACAGCAGGAAAGGACACAACAGGACAGTACAGGACAGCACGGGACACAACAGGACAGGACACGACAGTACAGGGCACAACAGGACAGGACACGACAGAACAGTACAGGACACAACAGTTCAGGACACGACAGGACAGGACACGACAGTACAGGACAGGACAGGACAGTACAGGACACAACAGGACAGGACACGACAGTACAGGACATGGCAAGACATGGCAGGACACGAGAGTACAGGACACGACACAACAGTACAGTGCAGGACAGGAGAGGACACGACAGTACAGGACAGAACAAGACTGGACAGGAGAGTACAGTACAGGACACAACAGGACAGTACAGGACACAACAGGACAGTACAGGACACAACAGGACAGGACAGTACAGGACACAACAGGACAGGAGACGACAGTACAGGGCACGACAGGACAGTACAGGACACGGCAGGACAGTACAGGACAAGACAGTACAGGACCCGACAGTACAGGACATGACAGGATAGGACAGGACACGACACGACAGTACAGGACATGACAGGACAGGACACCACACGACAGTACAGGACACGACAGGAGAGGACACAACAGTACAAGACACAACAGAACACGACACGACACAACAGTACAGGACACGACAGTACAGGGCACGACAGGACAGTACAGGACACGATAGGACACAACACTAAACGTAACAACATTTAAGGGCAAGTGGCATAAAAAACATTTACTCTTCTTATATGTCATCTTATTTTGTGACTCACACATAATCTGAATTGCACTAAACTCCACATAAATGATCTTTGTCAACCAATGAACAGCCCACTGGGATTAAATTATCTTTTAAAGGATCACTCCCTATGATTTTCCAACATTTCCCTGGTGGGCATCAGATCCACACCAACTTTTGTGGGCTTCGATCAATCAGCTTTATTTATACAGCACCTGCCACCACCTCATCGGAGGCCCAGGGTGCTGAACAGCACATAAAAACAAGGGTCAAATCAACATAGTAGATAAAAGAGTCAAATTGATCAAAATAAATAAATATAAAATTTCAAGTAAAAGTAATTAAAAACCATAAAGTACAAAAGGTGAAATTACAAAAGCCAGAGTTATCGATGTTGGGGGAAAGCTAGAAGATGAAAGCGAGTTTTCAGGCGAGACTTCAACTCCTGTAGAGAAGGAGCTTGCTTCACAGCCAGAGAGAGCTCATTCCAGAGAGTAGGACCCTTTACCGAGAAGGCCCGGTTCCCCTTCACCTTTTACAGCGGGGGACTTCCAGCAACTCCTGCTCAGCAGAGTGAAGGGCCCGAGTGGGGCCACGCCACTGCAGCAGTTCAGCAAGGTATGGGGGAGTTCTGCCCTGCAGCATCCTGAACACATGGAGGAGGGTCTTAAATCTTGCCTGATAAAACACCGGGAGCCAGTGCAGAGAAGGCAGCACTGGATGGCTGCTTATACTGAGCCAGGATCCTCTGGAGGTTTCTTCCTGTTAAAAGGGAGTTTTCCTCTCCACTGTCACTGCATGCTTGCTTAGTTTGAGGATTGCTGTAAAGTCATTGACACTAGTCAGTGACTTGATGCAATTTGCTGGGTTCCTTATATAGGAAACATTATTTCTGATTGGCTTAATGAACTGACCTGGATTGGAATGTTTATTATGTGAAGTGCCTTGAGACGACTCTCGTCGTGATTTGGCGCTATATAAATAAAATTGAATTGAATTGAACTGGTGTGATGGTCTCTCCTTCTGGTCCCAGTCACAAATCTCACAGCAGTGGCTTACTCATGCATGAGGATGCCCCCTCTGTAGGGAGCTGAGCAGAGACATAGACTAAAGATGCTTACTTATTGTACCCTATACACGAAACCGAGTCTGGTTACTGAACCGAGCAGAATTCTGATGACGTCACACCGGTGCGCGAAGGGTGGGTTCCAACCCACAGGAGAGGAGGGAGAGAGGAGGTAAACGGCAAGTGGATCACAGGGACTGAACTGATGTTTTTCAGCAAAACGTTGGTAAAAATGGCTGTTTGTCCTCATTATCTAAAGTGTGCCCCCCCCAACCCCGGCCCAGACGCGGCACTCATGCAGGTGTCTCTTTCTGTTCCAATGCTGCTACACGTAATATTTTTTATTTATTAAGTCTACAATTTATTTTTACTCAGTAACGGATATGATGTAGCGAATTACAATTCTTTTTTTAAAAGGTAGCCTACAAAAGTAAAAGTACAGATTTTAAAAACGACTTAAAAAGTATAAATATACAAAAAAGCTACTCAGTAACAGTAACATGAGTAAATGTAATTTGTTACTTTCCACCTCTGCCTGTAGTGATGAAATGCAGAATTGATTGGTGGGCTTGGAGGATCCATGGAAGGCCGGAGCGGTGCTGAGCTGTGAGGGCCGAACGATCGATGCATCTTTAATTTATTTTGTTTTTAGGGAAGCAGTACAGCGAAGAATTTGGAAAACTCAACATTGTGAGGAAGATTCCTGTTCTGAAGGACGGCAGCTTCATCCTGACTGAAAGGTATGAAAACAGGGTATTTATTTATTTATTTATTTTAACTCATATGGGTCAGTCCATCTTTATCTGTGATGAGTGAAGCCTGATTTGGATTTCTCCATCAGCTCAGGTGTGGTGTCGATATTTCCCTTCAGACTTCTTTGTTGCCTCGGGAGTGTTGCAACACAATTCCCTGCTGAACAAACCAGCTTATGTTGTGTTTTGGTGCTGGTTTGGCTGGTGGACCAGCATCCCATTCTGGTCCAGGGTGCTGGTCCAGAATGGGATGCTGGTCGAGCGTGTCCCCCTACAACCCAGACTGTTAGGTTTGAATCCAGCCCATGTGTCGAGGGACATTTCCTGTTAGGTCTAACCACAAAAACCAGGAGGTGAATAAAGTTCAGAAGAAATTCCGTGAACCAGACAGCGAGAAGTCTTTCCACGAGGTTCATCCAATATATTTCTAAATAAATACATTTTAAAACGTCAAATTTCTAATAATTTGTGGGAGCACATCTCCAGATATTTCTGCACATAAGCTGCAGTCAGTGTGAAAGACTGTGAATCTGGAAGCCATACAGAAGCTGGACCGCCTCCTCCGTACCGCTTTGGTGTGAAACAGGCTTTCACATTCCCAGAGGAGCTGGGAGAGGGAAGTCTGGGCCTGTCGGCTGGGCTGCTGTCCCCATGATGGACGGCACCGTACCGTAGCATTCTACGTTTTTTATAGTTGAAACAGCAACGAATTATTAAAAACAAGCGAATAAAAGTTTATAAACAGGTTTTAAAAATGTAGAGTGAGGCAGCCAGTGACCTGTGTGCATGCGTGCCTGTGTGTGTGTGTGTGTGTGTGTGTGTGTGTGTGTGTGTCTGTCTGTGTGTGTATATCTGTGTGTGTGTGTGTGTGTGTGTGTGTGTGTGTGTGTGTGTGTGTGTGTGTGCCTGCCTGTGTGTGTGTGTGTGTGTGTGTGTGTGTGTGTGTATATCTGTGTGTGTGTGTGTGTGTGTGTGTGTGTGTGTGTGTGTGTGTGTGTGTGTGTGTGCCTGCCTGTGTGTGCGTGCCTGTGTGTGCGTGCCTGTCTGTGTATGAGTGAGTGTGTGTGTGTGTGTGCGTGCCTGTCTGTGTATGAGTGAGTGTGTGTGTGTGTGTGTGTGTGCGTGAGTGTCTGTGTGTGTGTCTGTGCATGTCTGTGTGTGTGTGTGTGTGTGTGTGTGTGTGTGTGAGTGTCTGTGTGTGCGTGCGTGTGAGTGTCTGTGTGTGTGAGTGTGTGTGTGTGTGTGTGTGTTGATGTCTGTGTGTGTGTGTGAGTATCTGTGTGTGCATGTGTGTGTGTGTGTGTGTGAGTGTCTGTGCGTGTGCGTGCGTGTGTGTGTGCATGCGTGCGTCTGTGTGTGTGTGCGTGCATGTGAGTGTCTGTGTGTGTGCGTGTGTGTGCGTGCGTGTGAGTGTCTGTGTGTGTGTGCGCGTGCGTCTGTGTGTGTGTGTGTGTGTGCGCGCGTGCGTCTGTCTGTGTGTGTGCGTGTGTGAGTGTCTGTGTGTGTGTGTGAGTATCTGTGTGTGCATGCGTGTGTGTGTGTGTGTGTCTGTGTGTGTGTGAGTGTCTGTGTGTGTGCGTGTGCATGCGTGCGTCTGTGTGTGTGTGCGTGCATGTGAGTGTCTGTGTGTGTGCGTGTGTGTGCGTGCGTGTGAGTGTCTGTGTGTGTGTGCGCGTGCGTCTGTGTGTGTGTGTGTGTGTGCGCGTGCGTCTGTCTGTGTGTGTGCGTGCGTGAGTGTCTGTGTGTGTGCGTGCGTGCGTGAGTGTCTCTGTGTGTGTGTGTGTGATAAATGCTGGTATTGTTTGTCTCTGAAAGTCCAACCACAGCTTGTGTTAGCTGGCTTGGAAACCTCAGTTTTCATTTATTTATATGTTTTTACATCATTAATGTTACTTCATTTTTCCTGCTTATTCATCATTTAGATGTTTGGTTTTTGTTCAAGTTCTTTTTTGTCCTAGCGTTCATCATTCCTCTGTTTTCCCAACATGCTGATACAACCGATGTGATTGTTTTATGGTCGTAAGACTTATTTATTCATGTCGGACTGTTGATGGAAACAAGCTGCTTCAGTAAAAGCAATTAAAATAAAAAACGACCTTTTCGAAAAGTCACCATTCTTTTAACGCTGAATACTTTGTTTAAAACTGAGTCTAGAGTTGAAGTAAAAAGCCTCTGAAAGCAGAAACAGAATCCAGTTTCTGTGTAAAATGACTTTTGGGCCGTGTGAACCCAAACGAACCTTCTCATGCTGATGCAGTCCTGATCTGGCTGTTGCAGCACAGCCATCCTGATGTACCTGGTGCAGAAATGTTCGTCAGCAGTGGCAGACCACTGGTTTCCAGCCAACCTGCAGCAGCGCGCTCGTGTCAACGAATACTTGTCCTGGCAGCACCTGAACCTCAGAACTCACTGTGCAAAGGTCTTCCTGCTCAAGGTTGGTGCCTGACAATGTCTGCTGACTCCCTCACTTTGTATCAGTTCATTTGTTTGTTTTGTTTCTTTTTGATGCTCTGAAATCACGTTATTTACAGTTCCAGCCTCATGAATGTCAGGAAATATATCAGTAAGAAGACGGTGGAGGGCACAGTAGATAAATCATTTAATAACTTTAAAATCTGTCATTAAATCGTTCAAATATGAAATACAAAAAGAACATATCACAAATGATCGAATGTGTCATAAATATTTCCTTTCTTGAAATCCTGATCTCGTTTATTTACCAGTCTGTGTTGCTGCACACGAGGGTTTTATTTCATCTGTCGTGCTTCAGGAAGCTTCGGTGAAATAAAGCACGACACGTCAAACATCACATGACCAACATTTCCCAGGAATCATCAGTCGTTGTTCCTCAAAATGCACAATCTGGAAAAAGATGGAGATTATTTAATGTGCGTGCGTGCGTGTGTGTGTGTGTGTGTGTGTGTGTGTGGGAGCAGACTCTGTATCCATTCGCCATGGGCTCCGAGGTCCCGAAAGAGAAGATGGATGCCGCTCTGGACGATATGAAACAGTCTCTCGACCTGCTGGAGGAAAAGTTCCTCCTGGACAAACCTTTCATTCTTGGCGACAACATCTCTCTGGCTGATCTGGTAGCTGTGGTGGAGCTCATGCAGGTGAACTGGTTTGCTCCCAGTCAGCAAATTCAGGTTTGAATAAAGTCTGGGACAGTCTAAACCAGGGGTCGCCAACCTGGTGCCCCCAGGAACCATCTAAGTTGCCCACAGGTCTAAAATTAAACGAAATATAAATTATCATGCCATCTTTTAAAATCACAAATGCATTCATAATCTAGATTTTAAAACAGCAATTATCTTTAAAAACATTAAAATATGTTTATTATACCTTTAGATTATTGCTGATGTGTCCTTGGGCAAGACACTAAACCCGCCTTACCTGCTGGTGGTGGTCGGAGGGACCGGTGGTGCCTCTGTCAGTGCGCCCCAGGGCGGCTGTGGCTACATCGTAGCTCATCACCACCAGGGTGTGAATGGGTGAATGACTGACTGTGTTGTAAAGCGCCTTGGGGGGGTTCCAGGACTTCAGAAGGCGCTAAATCAAATACAGGCCATCTACCATTTTAGTACAAAGGTCACTAATCGTATCAACCTGGTAGCCCTTCATGTGACTCAGTGCCCATGAAGTAGCTCTCCGCTTCACAAAGGTCGGTGACCCCTGGACTAAACTGTCTCTGAAGTTCAGGTAAGTACTGGACTGAATCTGGTCTAAATTGAGAAATCTTATTTTATCGAAACGTGTTTTTTTTCCAGCCTCTTGGATCGGGCGTGAACAGCCTCGAAAGTCGACCGAGGCTGATTGCCTGGAAAGAGCGAGTGAAGAAGAAGCTCGGAGAGGAGCTGTTTGATCAAGCTCACCAGAAGCTTCTGGAAGCTAAAGGTCTGCAGCAGGAGATACAGAACAGCCCGCATCTGCAGAAGCTTCAGCCAGTGTTTGTGAAGTTGTTCCGCTGAGGAGGTTTCTGGCTTCAAACATTAAAGAGTTGGGAAAACTGAGATGTTCTTTCTGTGTTCTGCTAATTTATGAAAGACGTTTGCATAAAAAAGGTTTTAACAAACCTGCACCATGTTGTTTTACACCTTCCAGAGCGCAGACAGGCACAATATATGCTAAAATGTTACTCCTGGCCCTGTGGAGATGTCATTTTTTATGAAATATGTTATTTTTGTAAACCCAGAAATCTATATGTGATGACACACACACCCCTCCCCCATGAATTACACAATAGTACACAGCTGCAGACCCAGATAACGCAGATTCACGTCGACATGTCACTCTCAGCCCCACCACCCTCAGAAATCTAAGACAGAGAGCCAGACACACACACGGGTGGGGAAAAGGCAGCTGGCCTCTCCATCGAGTGGTTTTAACATTGAAACGGCGTGGGTTAGAAAAAGTAATTGGTGTGAAAACCCACTCCAGTACTGCCGGAGGTTGTGTGAAATCAGGGTCGCATCAGGGCTGCCAAGATTTGGAGTTATCCATGTGAGAGAGCGGTGGGGTGGGGTGGGGGTGGGGGGGGTAACGTCTCCTCCAGCGTGAGTAATTGGAGGTGTGGCGTGAGAGCTTGGGAAGGGGCTTCAAACAAATTCCGGTATCTCTCATTGCCCAAAATCCCTTTTTGGGGTTTCAGGCATTTTTTAGCACATTTCGTACGCAGAGGCAATTCATTGTGCTTTCCAGTTAGCAAGAATAGCAATAACACTAAAATCAATGTGACAGGCAGCACAATTAAAATACTCACAAATCAAATTTAGATTTAAAATTTAAAAAGAAAAAGACAACGTTAAAGGGTAGCAGAAGGAGCAGCATAAGAACATTTATTCAAAGGCCGATGAATACATGAAGGTTTTCAATTTTAATGTAAACGTTGCGAGAGCTGGGCTACATTTGAGGTCATGAGGAAGCAGATTCCATCTGTGAGGAGCAAAGTAGCCAAAAGCAGCATCACCCCGTTTGGTTCTGACCCGGTTCTACCAGCTGGCTGTTTCCTAAGGATCTCAGAGCCCTGCTGGGTGTACATACAGGAAGAAAATCCAACATGTATTCTGGCCCCATGCCATTGAGTCATTTATAAACCAGTAGAAGTACTTGGAATCCGGTTCTGTAGTTTACTGGTAACCAGTGTAGAGATTTAAGGACGGGCTCCAGTTGTGACGTTGTAATGAGAGGTTTTCTCTGGCATTTTTAAACTTTCTAATTTACATAAAAAGTAGGTCGCGCGTGGCTTTGGCTTTGGCCTTTTGACCACCCACGCTGTCTTATACAAGAAAATGTTGGTTTAGAGTCTTCAGACTTGGCACACCCCTTTATGGAGGGATGATGAGATAATAAATTCAAATAAATGATAAAATAAATACTAGTTGTTAAGAAATATACTTGGACATTGTATGTATGGTGTTTAATCGTTTAAATGTATTAAATTGTGTTTTAGTTCAGACTTTGCTGCCATCTAGTGGATTGACGTTGAAGCATTTTTTTTTAAAGAACAAATTCTCTAATAATCCAAAAGTGTTCAAATGAAGGCAACCGACCCTTTGGATTACCGTGACCTGGATGACCGAGAACCTTCACCAGCAAATTCTCTTAATACGTCAATGAAAACTCAAAACTAAATAAAATTTGTTTTAAAAACATTTCACGTATTTTTATGCAACTATAAATCTGTCAAAACTAAAGTCCGTTAATTTTTTATTATCATCATCGAAGCGCGTTAAACGGAAAGCAGAGGGTGCTGAAGGGGAGTCCCGCAGCTGTGCGTGGGATGCTGCAGCTGCCGCCGGAGCACGTGACCTCCCGCACAGGAAGAAGAGTCAGTTCCTCCCGTCCTGCGGTCCGAACCGAACAGAACAACATGCCGTCCTGCGACGTGCTCGGCCTGTGTCAGTACCAAACCAACAAACTGGTCCGGATCCAAAGCGTCCGGCTTGGATCTCTGAAATGGAGCCTGAACGGAACCATTCTGCTGATTATCTGGTGAGTGGAGGTCCGAGTTTCCGTTATATGAGGAAAGCCATTCCGCTAAAATATCAGTGGTCACAGAAAAAGCCCCCAAACTAAAACAGAACCTGGTCATCACCCATTACGCTCTGGTTCAGAACCTTAAATCAGAACTTGTGCCACTGCCAAGAGAGGCGCGTCCACAGGGGGCGCTAGGGCGCAGCCCTCCCTGAAGTGAAGGGGAAAAACTGCATATATTTACTATAATGTGTCGAGGTTGCTTAATTGGGAGGGCCCGCATGCAACTTGAATTGTTTACTCATCATTTTCGTCAGCGGTCTCTCACTAAACCGTGGAGTTCACGCCCAGGCCTGGAGAGCCGGCGTCCAGCTCTGCTTCAACACACCTGATTTCAATCAGCAGGTGATTAACAGGCCCCTGAGGAGCCTGATGAGCTGCTGCACAGGTGATTCAGCTGCTGATTGAGTTGTGCTGGAGTAGAGACACAAGGAAAACATGCAGCAGGACCAGGAGTGAGTACCACTGCACTAAACAGTGAATTTCCTCCAAATGACTAAAATCTGGGAAAAGCATCCCATAGCTGCAGCTGGCCTGTCCTAGAACCCCCCAAGGTACTTTAGAATGCATCCACCCATTCACACCCTGGTGATGATGAGCTACGATGTAGCTACAGCGGCCCTGGGGCACACTGATGGAGCCAGGGCTACTGAACACTACAGGTCCCTCCGACCACCACCAACAGGCACGGTGGGTTGTGTCTTGCCCAAGGACACAACAGCAGCATTCTCTGGCAGGAGCCGGGATCGTTCCTACAACCCGCTCTACGTCCTGAGCTGATGCCGTCCCAAAATATTGGACTGGGAAGGGAAATATGTCAGTTTAATTCAGTTTATTTCTAACTCGCCAAATCAGGACCAGAGTCGTCTCGAGGACCTTCACATAGTAAACATTCCAACACAGGTCAGGTCAATAAGCCAGTCAGCAACAAGTTTCCTATATAAGGAACCCAGCAGGTTGCATCGAGTCACTGACTAGTGTCAGAGTCTTTACAGCAATCCTCATACTAAGCAAGCATGCAGCGACAGTGGGGAGGAAAACTCCCTTTTAACAGGAAGAAACCTCCAGAGGATCCTGGCTCAGTATAAGCAGACATCAACCATGACTCACTGGGGATGGAGAAGGCAGAGCACACACACACACACACACACACACACACACACACACACACACACTGCATTGTGATTTGTTAGTAAATATTCTATTTGGTGAGAGATAAACTTTGTTGTATTTATCCTAGTGAATCTATAATTAAATGGGTAAACTAGTAGTAGCACATTCAATGTCAAAGAGAGTAAAATGTTATTATCAGGAGAGGGAGAATGTTTAAGTGGTTAGCAGCAGTGTGCTAGACGATGGCCCCCTCCATGAGGCCACCACAGCTCAGCAGAACATCGTTGTAGCTTCTTCTGGAGAGAAAAACAGAGAAAAAATAAAGTTAACAGCTGAAATAGCAGGAAATAATACAGTTAAAGAGCAGATTGTAGAAGAAAGTAGTCGAGTGTGAAAAGTGGTCAGTGTGTCCTCCAGCAGTCTAAGCTACAGAGATAACTCTGGATAACCTAGCCTTTTTAGATGGAGCCACTACTGACTTGTGCTCTTTTATTTTCATTGTCATGTCAGCATCATGATGCTGTGGAACAGGGAGTACCAGGAGTTTGATCTGGTGGTGAGCTCCGTCACCACCAAGCTGAAGGGTGTAGCTCAGACCAACCTGCCTGGGATCGGAGATGTGGTCTGGGATGTCCTGGACTTCAGTGGACTTCCACAGGTAGCAGCTCAGCTCCCGAGCTGTACCGGCTTCGGAGGGAACACTAATACACTTCTTTCTCTTTTTAGGACAAGAACTCCTTCTTTGTGGTGACGAACGTGATCATAACGAAGAATCAGATGAAAGGAAAATGCCCGGAGGTGCGTTCGTCAGTCTGAACTAGCTAGCAGCGAGGATCACGGGTTGTAATGTGAAGTTTAGAAGTTTTTCATCAGAGTTCTTTTTCCCTAACTGTTTGTAACAGGAGCAGTGCCAGGATTTCTGTAGGATGTTCCCATCGTTGTTTTGCTGTCTGACCACCTGAGTTAAAGCTCTTCTTTTTCGGGCTCTTTGAGCATTCTCTGGTCGGAGCCGGTATCGAACCTGCAACCTTCCGATTACTCTGCCTCGTTAGCTACTGCTGCTCCTCAGCTGTCCAAGGTGTCCCCATCCCTCAGCTAATGGTTGCTGGGGTTAGACACCAGCTCCCGAGACCTTAGAGAGGAGTTAGCAGCTAGGGTAACGAACGCATAAAAGAATAAATGCAGATGAAAGTGTTTCTATTCCAGGTTCCCTCTAAAGGCAGACTGTGTCGGACAGATAAGGACTGTGAGAAAGGTGCCTGGGACCAGCAGAGTCACGGTAACACCGACCGGATTGTTGTTCCACTGGTTCCAGAAGTCTTTAATTCGTTCAGACCAATGAAAAGTTCCTTTGCTGGATGAATTTCTCCCAGATTTAAAATAAAATATTTTTAAAAATCTAGATTTTTTAAACAAACCAGAGTTTTAGGTGTCTAAAATTCACTTTCAACATACTGGTGGATCTTGGTTCTGATGAGCTTTTGGGGAACGACCAATGGCTGCATGGAGCATAACACAACACAATACAATATTCAGTTCTTTTAAATACTGTAGCGCCAAACCACAACGAGTCATCTCAAGTCACCTCTCAAAGGAAACATTCCAGTTGAACCCACCCATCGGTGCACTGGGTTCAGCCCAGTTAGTTAAGAAAATGCAGCAGATTGCATCGAGTCACAGACTTGTTGATGGATGAACCCTCTGCGCTGTCACCTGAAGCTTTCTGAAGAGCTCAGTGGGCGGTCCCCACCACCGCCGTCTTGGCCGTATCGTGAGTTTCATCACTCCCAGGAAAAAGCAAAACAGTGGCGTGTCTAGATCTCTTAAAATGGGGTGGCCCAGGTGAGGCACAACTTTGTGCATGGGTGGCACCAATGGTTATGCTTTTTTTGTTTTACCCTCAAGCCTGTTGTAGACAATGACAAGCCTATTTAAAGGTAAATTAGTGTGGTGGCACCTGGGGTGGCCAATCAGATTCCAAGGGTGGCATGTGCTACCCCAGGCCACTCCCTGGACACGCCCCTGAAGCAAAAACAGTTGAGAGCGGGGCTGTGAGGGTGGGGGCAGATGATTGATGTAGCTACAGGTTAACAGAGCTAACTGAAGCTAGTGGAGGTTGGTGGGCGCTTTCAGCCAGAAAACCGCGGTTGAATGGCTCAGCTACCCTCTGCCTTTAAGGTCATAACTCATCTGTTGGCAGGCAGACCAAAAAGTGTTTCCTCCGTCAGCTCGTCGGGCTCGGCCTTAGCGAGAGGGGGAGGAGCTTGGAGTAGAGCCGCGGAGGAGCCAGTTTAAGTGGTTCAGGCTTTAGAATGGGGGGAGTTTCAGGCATGTCCTGCTGGCTGGACCCAGGATAGAAGAACTGTGTCTCCTAAATGACTTGGGAACGCCGCGGGATCCCACTGGTGGAGCTGGTGATTGCTACTGATACTAGGAAAAGGGATTTTCTTGTGTCCATGTTGCAGTTTTAGTCAAGCCTCGGCCGTGAATGCCTGTTTTCTCCTGAAGGAATTCAGACTGGATCGTGTGTGAAGTTTGATGTGCTGAAGAAGACCTGTGAGGTTTCTGCGTGGTGTCCAACAGAGGCAACATCATCTCCTCCACGGTGAGTAGGCATTAATACCCGAAAATAAGAATTGGTAAACCGTAATGGTCTGTATTTGTATAGCTCCTTCTTAACTCATTCACTGCCAGTGTTTTTACGGTGTGGGCGTCGGACGAGCCCCCGCGCTGAGAGAACTAACATCTCAGCTTTGAAGCCGATCTTCATCCGCATACGTCACACGTCACGTGATCAGGAAGCAGAAATCCATGTGTTAGATCGTTATGGGCCGCTGCTGTAAAAAAGTGAGGTGCGAACCGGAAAAGCTTCTGCCGATCACAGTTCAACAACGGATTATGAAAGAACGGATAACGATCGAAACGCGCGGGTTTTTCCTAATGTAAGAGGTGAGTCTCCTCCTCCTTTGGCGTAGACATCATCCTAGCGCGCAACGTTCTGTCATTCCTAAAAAAAACAGTAATAAAGGGGAGAAACGCTGGCAGGGAATTACTGAAAGAGCAAGTCACCCCCACCAGAGTATTGCCCCACTCCCACTTCCTGTTGAAAAATGCAACAAATGCTGTTGCCTAGCAGACCGAGAGGGCGGAGCCACTAACAAATACACAGGCTCACAACGACATTGTGACATCACATGGTACCAGCTAACGTTCTAGGGTACCTCTTAGTAGAGCTGAGGAAAATAATCAAATATCGATGCATCGGGATGCGGACATGAACGATTCTGCATCGTAGAAGTGTACGCCATAATTGATTATAGTGGAATGTAGTTTTGTTTTTTAATGGCGGCACCAGCGTTGCATCCAAATCTGTCGGAGTGAGCGTCCTCCACATTTACCAAGTGGTTCCGCCTTAATGTGGTACTGCAGGGCGGAGCGCTAGAGTTGTAACCTGAGACCGAACCGAATCAGCCCGACCGGTGCCTGTAGTCAACCAAACCGACCGTTGTGATGGCGGGAGATCCAGTCCTGGGGAGGGGGCGGGGTCAGTGGCGGCGGCTGCAGCGTGATCGTCTGTCTCTTATTAAGGGACACGAAGAAGTTAAAAGCATTCAGCTTAAAGAGAAACTGGGAGGAAGCTTTGGTTCATTTGAAGTTACAGGAGATCTTGTCTCCTATCTGCTCCTCCAGAGACAGCATGGGCATGAGGGTGACTCAGGACAGGTTAGTGGAAAGGTTTGTAGTTAGCTGGTTAGTGAAGGAGATCCGTCAGCTGGGTAATTTAATCCTAATCCAGCCCGCAGCCTTCTGCTGGTGTTATTATCAGAAAGAATAAAACACACATCTTAAATATTATTGGAAGTGTAGAATTTGTTTTATGTTTTATTGTTTTCTGCATCTTGATTCATTCTCCAACATTTCAGAAATGAACCACTGGGTTCAAATAAAATAACAAACTAAGTCAAACATTTCATTTGGTGTTATTTCTGACACCCATTAACAGCGGCATAAATATTGGACTCTAGAGCTGCTCAGAGACATTAAACACTCATATATGAACCCATTATGTATTTTATTATTACATTATGTGTCCTGTAGGTTTTCAGTACTTTTTGTGAGTTTTTGCAAAGCGTGTTTTTCTCAGCCTGAGGCGTGGTGTTGAACGAGGAAACGGATTGTTTTACTTTGTTAAATCTTCTTAAATGTTTAAAATGTTTTGTCCTAACCTGTTGTGAATGGAGAGCTTTTTAGGGATGGCAGGTTGTGTCAATTACCTTTTTGATTTAAAAAAATAAGTAAATAAAAAGCAATTATCTGACATCTTTTATTTATCGATGAAAACAAATCAATATGAAATAATCGTGATGCATCGGGATATCGAATCGAATCGTTGACCCAATAATCGTAATCGAATCGGGAGACAAGTGAAGATTCACACCTCTACCTCTTAGCCAATAGCGGTGGCAGATTTCAATTCAAACGCAGTGCAGAGTTTTTACCTGACGAACAAAACTGACAGTTTTAGGCAGAAAATTTAAATTTGAACAAAAATGCACTTAAGTGCTAAACTATTGACTTCACGTGTCTGCAGCACGATTAGACACCCACTTATATAGTTTATCAGAAAAAATTGTTGATTTGGGGGGCGACTTGCTCTTTAAGGTTCTACAGCCCCCCAAGGTGCTTCACAACACAATCAGTCATTCACTCATTCAAACGCTGGTGGTGATGAGCTACGATGTAGCCACAGCTGCCTTGGGGTGGACAGACAGAGGCGAGGCTGCTGAGCACAGGCACCACCGGTCCCTCCGACCAGCAGCAGCAGGCAAGGTGGGTTGAGTCTTGCCCAAGGACACAACAGCAGCATTCTCTGGTCAGAGCTGGGACTCCGCTCTTCCTCCTGAGCTGCTGCTGTCGGTACTCACCACTGTGACCACCTCCCTTTCCAGCTCAGAGGTGACATCCTTACATGAACCACACAGAGATGGGGAAAGGGCTTTTGGGCCTGTGTTGAAAGTGTCCATCACTCCTACCACACCACTGTCTGGTCCCACTGGCAGCTGCAGTGCAGACACAGATTCTGGTTGTTACCCCTTGGTACTTGTGATGCAGGCACTCTGCACCTCTAAGATTAGATTTCCTTTGTGATGCAGACCAGCTCTTCTGGCAGCAGCTGAGAACTTCACCGTCCTCATCAAGAACAACATCAGATTTCCCGCCTTCAGCTTCATCCGGTCAGACATTAAAGCCTCAGCAGCACTCACCTGCAGAGAGAAAAGAACAGCTCAGACAAGGAGCTTATTAAAGCAACGCTCCCGTTTTCCGTCTGTGGAAGAGAAATCCTGACTGTCGGATGTGTTCTACAGACGGAACATCCTGCCTCAGATGAACGTCGCCTACCTGAGAAGCTGCGACAGAGGAAACGACTCGCTGTGTCCCATCTTCCGACTCGGAGACATCGTTCGAGGCGCCGGGGAGACGTTCTCAGACATGGCGGTGGAGGCAAGGGCGTCTGGTTCTGCTGACTTTCTCTTACAGCTTTCGTCTTTTTTACAAGGTTGTTTTGGAAAATTGTTGCTTCATCACTAAATGTGGGTGGTCTGAGTGTCCACTTCCTTTTTGAGTAATTTGCTGTCCTCAGCGGACGGAAACTGAGCTCAAAGGGAAACTTGGGAAATAACTTTCATGGCTTTTGGACACAGAATCATCACCAAACATGTTCTGCTTTTCCTCTTAAGAACAATTTGCTTATTGCTTCCTGTCTCAGTAAAACGCTTCAGCGCGGTCTTGTGTTTCCACTGTCGGCCACAGGGGGGTGTTATCGGCATTCAGATCAAATGGGACTGCAACCTGGACCGCTTCATGCAGAGCTGCCTCCCCCGGTACTCCTTCAGGCGTCTGGATGAGAAGGAGAGCAACAGGTCTCTTTACCCAGGCCTGAACTACAGGTGAGGAGGGTCAAAGGTCAACTCCAGCTTCTGCATGTGCTTCACTCACCTCTGCTCAGTTTTCACTTCAGAAACCTGCTGTTCTTTGATCAGATTTGTAAAGTACCACATGGTGAACGGCGTGGAGGAGCGGACGCTGTACAAAGCATTTGGGATCAGATTTGATGTGCTGGTGTTTGGGCGGGTAGGTTCTGCTCCTCAGACATCATCTGCTCGGTTGCTAAGCAGGAACTATGGGGTGCCATTTGTAAAGTCAAACAGTCATAATCTAACAGCAATATTTTTGGTTATTTAGCATGTCATAAGAGAAAAAATTGGGAGTTCACTTTTTCGAAGTCATATTTTCATCATGTTATTCATACATTTATAAATGTTAAAGTTTCCAAATAAATATTTAGTTAGCAAGCTAAATATTTAATTTGTAGTTAAATATTTATTTTGCAAACTAAATATTTAGGTCTGATCTAAATATTTAGTTTGTAAAATAAAAAAATAATTCACTAACTAAATATTTAATTTACTAATTAAATATTTATTTTGGAACTAAATATTTAATTTGTAAATTAAATATTTATTTTCCGAAAAAATATTTAGATCCCCGCTAAATATTTATTTTGGAGCTAAACATTTAGTTTGCAAAATCAGTATTTGGTTCTATTCATCTGAACATGTCCGACGTGTTGACTGAAGAAGAATAGAACCGGAGACAAGTTCTGGTTCGGAGCAAGAGTTTATAAAGAGGTTAGCGAGATACAGCTTTTATTTTGGTAACCAACTTCCGCTTATTGGAAAGCGAATTTGCATATTAGCTAAATGTTTAACTACCAGCTAAATATTTATTTTCCACGATGTTATTTTGCTCCACACTATATTTTATATTAAATATTTTTTTCCCAAATACTGATTTAGCAAACTAAATGTTTAGCTCCAAAATAAATATTTAGCTGGGATCTAAATATTTTTTTGGAAAATAAATATTTAATTTACGAATTAAATATTTTATTTACAAATTAAATATTTAGTTCCAAAATAAATATTTAATTAGCAAATTAAATATTTAGTTAGTGAATTAAATATTTATTTTATAAACTAAATATTTAGATCAGACCTAAATATTTAGTTTCCAAAATAAATATTTAACTACAAATGAAATATTTAGCTTGCTAACTAAATATTTATTTGGAAATTTTAACATTTATAAATGTATGAATAACATGGTGAAAATATGACTTCGAAAAAGTGAACTCCCAATTTTTTCTCTTATGATATGCTAAATAACCAAAAATATTGCTGTTAGATTATGACTGTTTAATTTTACAAATGGCACCCCATAAGGAACATCCTTATAATCTGGAAAATGGGATTTATTTAAAACAATAAGGGGATCATCTGTCTGGCTGCACAAAGGAGCCACGTGTGACTGAAACATTTTCCACTTTATCTCTTTTGAGTTTTTTTATCGTGCTTGTGAAGCTCCTTGTGATTTTTATCTGGAACAGCAACGTTCTCTTTTACATTAAAAGCGTTGGCTTTAGCCCGAGAGGAACTTCTGTGTTTCTGAATCTGCTTCCGCTGAAAAGGAGAAAGTTCTGGTTTTCTTTTTCAGGCTGGGAGGTTCAGCTTGGTTCAGCTCATCGTTTACATCGGGTCGACGCTGTCGTACTTCGCTCTGGTGAGAAAAGCCGTCCGCCATCGCCCTGAACTCAAACTGAAGTGTAGTGTTTTAATCCAGACCTGAAAAGGTTATTTCATGTGCAGATGAACTGGAACATTTCATCGAAGAAGAGCCATGTTTGATCTTTATGCCTCCTCTGTTGTGTGATTTTAACGGATTCCAGATGAATCGATTTACAGAAACGATCCATGATTCGTTTGTGTTTGAGTTTAAAGTTGCTGCATGTATTTATTCTTTTATCTGATGGCCCAAGATGAACTAAACAAAGTTTAGAGGTTTCACTTTAGCTTTGTTGACAGAGAGAGTAAAATGCTCTTCCAGGGAGTGCAGAACTATTAGGCAAATGAGTATTTTGTCCACGTCATCCTCTTCATGCATGTTGTCTTACTCCAAGCTGTATAGGCTCGAAAGCCTACTACCAATTAAGCATATTAGGTGATGTGCATCTCTGTAATGAGAAGGGGTGTGGTCTAATGACATCAACACCCTATATCAGGTGTGCATAATTATTAGGCAACTTCCTTTTCTTTGGCAAAATGGGTCAAAAGAAGGACTTGACAGGCTCGGAAAAGTCATAAATAGTGAGATATCTTGCAGAGGGATGGAGCAGTCTTAAAATAGCAAAGCTTCTGAAGCGTGATCATCGAACAATCAAGCGTTTCATTCAAAATAGTCAACAGGGTCGCAAGAAGCGTGTGGACAAACCAAGGTGCAAAATAACTGCCCATGAAGTGAGAAAAGTCAAGCGTGCAGCTGCCAAGATGCCACTTGCCACCAGTTTGGCCATATTTCAGAGCTGCAACATCACTGGAGTGCCCAAAAGCACAAGGTGTGCAATACTCAGAGACATGGCCAAGGTAAGAAAGGCTGAAAGACGACCACCACTGAACAAGACACACAAGCTGAAACGTCAAGACTGGGCCAAGAAATATCTCAAGACTGATTTTTCTAAGGTTTTATGGACTGATGAAATGAGAGAGAGTCTTGATGGGCCAGATGGATGGGCCCGTGGCTGGACTGGTAAAGGGCAGAGAGCTCCAGTCCGACTCAGACGCCAGCAAGGTGGAGGTGGAGTACTGGTTTGGGCTGGTATCATCAAAGATGAGCTTGTGGGGCCTTTTCGGGTTGAGGATGGAGTCAAGCTCAACTCCCAGTCCTACTGCCAGTTTCTGGAAGACACCTTCTTCAAGCAGTGGTACAGGAAGAAGTCTGCATCCTTCAAGAAAAACATGATTTTCATGCGGGACAATGCTCCATCACACGCGTCCAAGTACTCCACAGCGTGGCTGGCAAGAAAGGGTATAAAAGAAGGAAAACTAATGACATGGCCTCCTTGTTCACCTGATCTGAACCCCATTGAGAACCTGTGGTCCATCATCAAATGTGAGATTTACAAGGAGGGAAAACGGTACACCTCTCTGAACCGTGTCTGGGAGGCTGTGGTTGCTGCTGCACGCGATGTTGATGGTAAACAGATCAAAACACTGACAGAATCCATGGATGGCAGGCTTTTGAGTGTCCTTGCAAAGAAAGGTGGCTATATTGGTCGCTGATTTGTTTTTGTATTGTTTTTGAATGTCAGAAATGTATATTTGGGAATGTAAAGATGTTATATTGGTTTCACTGGTAAAAATAAATAATTGAAATGGGTATATAATTGTTTTGTTAAGTTGTCTAATAATTATGCACAGTAATAGTCACCTGTACACACAGATATCCCCCTAAAATAACTAGAACTAAAAACAAACTAAACTACTTCCAAAAACATTCAGCTTTGATATTAGTGAGGTTTTTGGGTTCATTGAGAACATGGTTGTTGTTCAATAATGAAATTATTCCTCAAAAATACAACTTGCCTAATAATTCTGCACTCCCCTGTATTTTGTTGAACAGATCAAATGTGTAGTTCATGCTTTGCCAGCAGGGGGCGACCATTGCCTTCCTTGTTCATGTTAAAGCCATACCATGCAGCTTTTTCATATTTTAAATTATTTTCTTGAGCCAGTATGTGCTAAAATGACCCCCTGCAGGCTTAACAAAAGGCCACTCACAACCCACCGCCTCCTGTGGCCAGAATATAGCACTTGCAACTTCAGAGTAGCAGCTGCCTCCTGTTGGACTTCGTTAAAGTGGAGCTGACATACCTGGCGCTGTGGTCTGCTTCCATCATATTTCCTGCATGTTTTAGATCATGAACACAGCTGATTTGTTTGATTTAGTGATGAGTCATTCCTATAGACACTAATGAAGGCTGGGGAGACACTTCAGCTGTTAGATTAAGGTGGTAAAACGACCAACGCCCAAGGAGGAGATAAGTTTCACTTTCGGTTTCACAACAGTGAGTTAAAACGGGCTGTAGGAGGTGCTAAAAGCAAGCTTAAACTACCTAGTTTCCCCAAGGCAGTGGTACTCAACAGGCGGCTTACGGGACACGTCCGGCCTGCAAGCCCTCTCTTTGTGGCCCCCGAACCCGGCGCGCACCCCCCACCCCCACCCCTTACGGCAGACCGGGGGGTGTAGGATAGAGCTGAGGAAAATAATCAAATAATCGATGCATCAAGATGTGGGCATAAACGATTCTGCATCGTAGCAGAGCGCCATAATCAATTATAGTGGAATGATGGCTCCAGCGTAGCATCCTGATGTGTCAGAGTGGGTGTTCTCCACACTTACCGGGTAGGAAACTTTGGTCCTTTATGTGGTACTGCAGGGCTGAGCACTGGAGTTCTTGGAGAGGGGGCGGGGTCGAGATCCGGTCTTGGCGAGGGGGCGGGGTCAGTGACGGCGGCTACAGCTTGATCGTCTGTCTCTTTTATTTAGGGACACGGAGAAGTTAAAAGTGGAGAGAAATAGAAGATAGAAGTTCTTGTTCCACTTTATTTTTTGTTTCATGATGATAAACTGATGTTAAATTCTATGGCGCGGTATGGGGGCCAAAATTAAGACTACTGCCCAGCAGCAGGAGGCTAAAAAAGTTCCCAAGCAAACCACCGATCTGATTAATGATAAGCTGGCGCCGGTAACAGAGAGGCTAGCGCTGCTTACTGAGAAACAGCACCTTTACCTGTGTTACTACTAGATATGCTAGGGACTAGCAGCCCTCGGCTGGTCATTGACTGGATCACACACTCCCTCTGCTGTCTATTAGCATGGAAAGGCTAGCGTTAGCCTGGACGGGCTGGTGTTAGCATTGAAGAGGCTAGCCATTAGCATGCCTAGGCTGGCCACTAGCTGGATTTCCTACCCTCTCGACAGACCTTTAGCATGGATAGGCTGGCGTTTTAGGGAGATTTAGGGGTTCTAACCCCTAAATCAGCCGGTTAGCCCCTCCCACATGCCCAGGACATGAATATGCTAATGAGCTGCTTGCTGATTGGTTGGTTTAAACCAGAAGGCCTCAGACTCTGGAGACTGCAGACTGGAGGAGGAAGGGCTCCACATTGTGACGTTTTAATAAGAGGTTTCTCAGAAATGAAGTTTATCTGGTATTTTAAAACTTTCTAATTGACATGAAACGTAGGTCACACACGGCTTTGGCTTTTGACCACGCAAGCTGTCTTTATTCACAAACAACAATAAAATGTTAGTTTAGATTCTTTGTCCCCTTTAAACATATCAAGTGTGCCTCAGTGCTTACTCTTAACAACGTTCTAACATAGTGTAGATATAAATATATTATGGAGATTTAAAAAAAAATGAATAGATTGGTTCTCGCATTTGCCTAAAAACCTTATAACACGGCTCGGACCGAAGCAACTATTGGGCCATCTGGTTTTTGGTCTCGCTGCTCTTCTGCACCTCCCTGGGTCCTCCACTCATCACACACTCGCGTATTCAGCACCAGAACACCACTGGTGTGAGAGGTTCTCCGCTCAGTAACGTCAGAGGAGGAGAAACAGCCGGCTGCTGCCGCTTCAGCTTAAGGACAAACTACCAGAGTTCAAAAAAGAAAATCACCGCCGGAAGTCAGACAACAAAAGACGTTTGGACCTGGAAAATGGCGACTGGTGTTTAGCGCCATCTTGTTTCCTGCGGCATCGCGGGTTTCCAGTTACGACAGAAGATGCACGATGGGAGGGGTGAGGGTTCCGTGACCCCGTTTAAAACCTAGCTTGTTTCGTAGATTTGATTTAACAGCTTTAAGACGTCATTGGGTAATATCCCTTCCTTTCAACCAATCACTGAAGAACATTAATACACGCCTGCCTACTGGGCGGGCCTAGTAGGCGGTCTGGTGTAGGTCCAGTATGAGAGGGAGACTGGACCAGGAATCTGCTCCCATTTTCTCCAAGTAACTGATTCACTAAGAGCTGAAGAGTAAAGGTGTTCCACCTATGCTTCTGCTCGTTTCTCTGTTTGAAACATCTGAATCCAACAGGTCTTCCGCAGGAGGAACCTCCTTCAGACCAAAGTAATCGTCAGAAGTTTAGCCACGCCCTCTAAGTTTGATTAACAGGACTGATGGAAACATAAGTGGAAATGAGTTTAGTGATTAAACGGATAAGCTTGTGTTCTGTCTGCCTCCAGACAACGTTGGTCATCGACTGGCTGATCCAAACCAGATGTTACTCTGCAGAAGTCGGACAAAACTACTCGGAGAGGAAAGTGGAATCTGTCCAGGACAAGCAGCAGGTGATGAAGCGCTCATGGAGAAAGGGTCCGGGTCCGTACAGGAGGTCTATCAGCATTTAACAACAAGCTGTGTTACAGTGCATCCTCTGTGTGTCCTACGTTGACGAGAAAAGGCTTCGGCTGGTGAAGAAATCGCACAAGAAAAGTCTTCAAGGTCTCAAAGCGATGTCTGAGTGGCACAAGGTGACCCTGGCAGCAGACGCCAACACACACACACACACACACGCGCTTAATGGTGATCATTCTGCACTAAAGTCAAGAACTCCTTTTTTACGTTCCACTCATCATAAACCGAGTACAGATCTGTTGGCTTGTTTTAGCCACATGCTAATCGGATATAATGAATGACGTTTTCCCCAAAAGGAAAAGAAACCACTGAAAAGGTCTCGTGTTTAATTTGGTGTTTATGTTGAACTCTTATCTTTGTAGGAAGATAAAAATAGACATGCTGGTTTCTTCTTTCACTGGTTACGTTCTGAATCTGTTTGGCCAAATCCAGACCGTTCCCTTTAAACCATGACGTCATCAGCAAAACAAAGATATCTGATAAAAGGGGACCAATCTGCGCTGTCAGAGTCTAGATTCAATAAAGTTTTGTTTTCCGTCATTAACTGGATACTTTGCTGTGACAGCACTGAATTTGTCAACCTGCAGATTTACTGAACGGGTGTTTTTGTCCCATCAGGACAACACGGTCCACCTGAGGGCCGTGCTCTGTCTCCTACAGCAGGATGTCGGTGACTCTCAGGCTCCGCCCACTCAGAAGTCAGACCTGACTGTGAAACATAGGCGTCCAGCCTGGTGTAAATGTGACCGCTGCGCCGCCTCCTCCTCCCTCCCTCAGGAGGAGCTGTGCTGCAGGCGGAGTGATGGCGCCTGCATCACCTCCTCTCCTCTGTTCCAGCAGCTGGTGTTGCGTCGTTCGCTGCTGGAGGCTGTCCTCCTGCACCAGGACCCTTTGTCTCCTCCAGTTGGTGAGGTCCAGACCGCCGCGCTGCGTCACTGTGCCTACAGGCTCTACATCAGCTGGAGGTTTGGAATTCCTCCTCCTGACACACATCCGGCCATTCCCAGCTGCAGCGTTTGGAGAATCAGGAATGAGTATCCAAGCTCAGATGGACAGTACAGCGGCTTCACACCCAGCAGAACGACCCCCACCTCCTAGAGCTTTGAGAAGACCTTTCCACATTACAGAGAGGCACTCTCCCTGGCTGACCTACTAACAAGCGCTGTTAATGCTGCATAACCAGTCCAGAGCAGCTTCACTCCACATGGCCAAGGAAGTGCGAGCATCAGCTGGTGCTTGGTTAAAGGCAACGAGAGGATGAAGAAAGGAACCTCATCTGTGGTGAAACCGGGCTGCTCCTCTGCAGGTCGGCTCTCTCAGCCTTTACAGGGAAGGAAAAGGGATTTTTCTGTAATCCAGTCATCTTGCATCTGCTGGGTTTCCTTACGTAGGGAGCTTTGAACTAATTGGCCTAATTTACTGAACTCAGTTGGAATGTTTACTTTGCGAAGGTCCTTGAGACAAATCTTGTGATTTGGCGCTATATAAATAAAATGGATAAAATGTTTTTGTTCCACGTGCTTTTATGTAAATAAGCATCTGACGAAGAGCAAAACTGCAACACAAGCTTGAATGTTGAAAACGGATAAGAACAATGGTACCCAATAGGTGGCTCGTGGGCCCCTTTCTGGCCCCCAGACAAGACCTTTCCCTCAGGGGCGTGTCCAGGGAGTGGCCTGGGGTAGCACATGCCACCCTTGGAATCTGATTGGCCGCCCCAGGTGCCACCACACTAATTTACCTTTAAATGGGCTTTTCATTGTCTACAAAAGGCTTGGGGGTAAAACAAAAAAAGCATAACTATTGGTGCCACCCATGCACAAAATTGTGCCTCACCTGGGCCACCCCATTTTACAAGATCTGGACACGCCACTGCTTTCCCTCTGTTACAACCGGAGGACTGCCATAGGGAGCCTAAGTCCCGCCCATCTACTTCTGGACCACGAGTCCCCTGAAGAACGAACAAATGAATGCAAGTCACTGGGGCTAAACAAGGAATTTTCTGATCCCACTTGCTATGTGCCGTGGATTTCACATATGATGTCCGTGAACTTCAAAAACACATTCTGATGCCAAGAACACACTTATTTTGGAATGGGGGCAAATGTTATTTTAGATTTAGTATGAAAATAAGTTCAGGACTACAAATATGCATCACTAAAGTGACGTCATCGAACCAGACATGGAGAAAATGGCTGTGAGTTCAACCAACTTCAAATCCTCCCTTCGGCAGCAAAGAACCACCATGAATCTGGTCATGTGGTGAGTAGCAGCTACGCTAGGGGGAGGAGGTTATGTGGTGACGTCTGATTTGTAGACATGCTAATTACAAACTTTTACAAGCTGATAAATCTCAGTACGTGACTGGCGTGGTGAAACACCCATCATTTGCTTTCATTTAACTGGAAGAACAACATATGTGATCCAGGGCGTGAGGCAGAGCGGGTTAGAAATGAGCTCTTTTAGCTCCGTTGACTTGCTGTCACGTTTTTGTTCTTCAGGGGACCCGAGAGCCGACCGGAAAGGGAGGAGACTTGGGCTCCCTATCGTGTCAGCTCCACTTACGACCACTTGTATTTGTGCATCCCACGAAGATGCGAGATACCTGGACAAGGAACTGTGAAATGATACGACTAAAAGCAGCATCAGAACAGGCTAAAGCGATTCACCGAGAGCGGCATTAAAGACCTGGCTCAACAAACTGTCCTGATTATGAGATTGCAACAAAGCATTACTATGAGAATCTACTGTAGAACCTTAAAGACAATATTAAGGGTATTTGGGAAGTGCGTAATGGTTTGGTGAAAGATTGCAGTACTACTAGTTTCTCAGCACGCATTAAAAATTCATCCCTACACCTTTTTCCCTCGAGGTTTGATTACAGCACACCCTAGTGGCCAGTGGTGACTTCTGCAAAAATGATTAAAATTGAATTGATGCAAGGCAATCCCTAATGAGTTTATTATGTGTGCAGCAAACCAATCATTTTACTGTGAAATCAACAAACAAATGAAATAAGGCCGGTCCCTGGCCCCCAGGGACCAGGATTGGGCCCTCCTCATGTCAGAAAACAACCAAGCTGTTTCAACCAACCCTTTGTATGTTAAACTTTTAGTTTGTTTATTCTTTTGTTTTTATTCTTTCGCATGTTTCTTGCTGGTGATGCACAGTATGTGACTTCTGATTTCAATATATATTTATATTTTTGTTTTTTCAACCTTTATCTTACCAGGAAAAATGTTTGAGAACATGTTCTCATTTACAAGCATGACCTGGCCAAGAGGTCTTGGAAGGAAGTGCAAGTAGTAGTAGTAGTAGTAGTAGTAGTAGTAGTAGTAGTAGTAATAATAATAAATAAATAAATAAATACAACAAAAACAAACAGATAAGCACATAACAGATCAGACATAAAAGGTTATCTATGTCTTAACGCCAATGATCGTACCATGTTTTGTTTTCTACGGCCCTTTGTGACGTATTTATCTGTAAAAGACTACAAATGCATTTTACTGATTATCAGTCACGCTGCAGTGTTTATGGCGCACTTTAGAGGTCGCTGTTGTACCACGGGTAGTTGCATCCACCGCAGCGTACCACGTGTCCAATCAGCTGTTAGATAAGGTTTGATTCATAAATTCCTGTGTTATTGATTTGTGTAGGCCACGAGCCAGAGCTGGACTCTTTAGGTGACGTCGTAGCCTGAGCAGATACGCGCGTTCCCGTTTCATGCGCTACTTATCAGAACACAAACATTAATGAGCTTATTTAACACGAGGGCAGATTGTTTTATAGACACAATCCAAAAGCACAGTGACACAAACACACAAACACCGTTATTGTAACCCTGCAAAAATACAAAATTAACACTTTCGATTTTTCAGGGTTTGTTTACTTGCTCCATTTCAACCACGTGCCTGCAATGCGGCCACGCATGCGCATATCAGTGTTGTGTTTTTGGCACGCGACACGGTTGGTGGCGCGCACAACCAAAACAACAGTCGACCTCGTGGGCGCGCAAATAAGTCTAGCCTCCGACTGATTGGCTAAACAAATTTAGCACCGCCCTCTCTGCCAACCGATTGGCAGATGGGATTTTTTTCTTCTTTCTGATTGGACTCTATTTGTGGATCGGACTGTGTAGCTAGGCTACCGCTGCTGCCTTCACGGACCGCCTCACTGATCTAATTTCACAGACTCCCGAGAAGGATCCGTTGTTTTGGCAGGAAGAGCAGCAGCTGAACGGCTCACCTGTTAACAGTGTTCAGGTGATTTAAGGCTGGACGCTAAAACAGGAGTTCCTCAGGTGCACTGAGCGCTTTTGCAGGTTGTGGAATGGGTGAACATATTTATTTCATCCTTAAGAAGTAAATAAATACATTTACATAAGAAACTGTCTTTTTAGCTTTCATCTCTGTTTTTAGGTATTTTTGTGGCAGTAGGAATCAGAAAAGATCAATTCTGTGGTTTTATTGGTGCCTTTTTGTTGTTTGTTGTTGTTAGAAGAAGTCTTGTGTCCTACTGGACGTGAATGCAGCATCAGATGGTGACATAAACCGATGCTTTTCTGCACCTTTCACAACTTTCACGCCGCAGAGAACCCTCAACTCACACCTACTCCGACCAGAATTTGGGTCTTTGATACGCAGATTAAATCAGATTAGATCCGTGCTCGTGCGCGTGTCAGTGCCTAGCTGCGCGTCTGATCTTCAGGATTTGGATATAAATAAGGCCTGAGACGGGACACAACCGCTTGTCCTGCTGCAGGAGTCCGGGATCTGAAGCCCCAGAAGGAGCTGCACCACCATGGTCCCCCTCTAACGGATGGTTCTCCACTCCAGCCGGACTCCCGTGGACATATCCACGCAGAGACGACCCGCAGAGGACGCAGATGACTTTTTGGTCTAAGCAGACTTATGGAAGCGTGAAGATCCTGCAGTGTTTTTTACAAACTCCTGCAGCTGCAGCGGAGAAACAGATTTTCTCAGCGGGTTGTTTTGGTGTCCGTGGGGGGAGAAGGCCAAGTGTCTTTGGGTGAGTGTCAAAACCTGCTGGAGGACACGAGAGTTTCATACAAATACAAACAGTCAGGCTTAGAAGTTTAAATCCCGTTAGATGCACGACACGTTTTTCATTTTAATGATCTTTATGTATTCTAAATGCATCAGAGTTTTAAAGTAGCCCCTCATCCTTGTCACCGTTTGGGTTTAATCATGAAGCAGCTTCATTTGTAGACACCTGAGCTGCGTTCAAGAACAACAAGACAACCATTCTCAGCTGAATCCTCGCTTCCTCCTGAAACCATCTATGGGATCTCATTGTTTATTTCATTTCGTAGTGTGTGCTTGTGTGTTGGGGGGGGGGGGGGTATGATGTCACGTGAGCAGGCGACAAAAACACAGAATCGTCGGATTTCACAACGCTCACGCGCACACGGCGTGCACCCGTGGAGGAAGAGGCTGCAGTGAGCAGATGTTTTGTTTACATGATCCTCCAAGCGGCGACAGGATGGAAGCTAACAGAACACAGATGTAATAAAACAAGATGCGGTTACAACAAAAAATAACAAAAGCCACCCTTAGACTGTTGTGGCTGGCGCGTGCCGTCACGTCAGAGCTGCAGGAGGCAATAGGACGAGGACAGGCTTCAAAGGTAACAGATTCATTTGAAGGTGTTCTTAAATGTGTGTGTGTGCGTGTGAGTGCACGCGCGCGCGTGTGAGCGTGGTGTATTAAAATAGGTCTGGATGGGATGATGCAGCGCTGACATGTAAACAGTGCAGGAGCGGAGTGGGGCGCAGGCAGAGGGTGGTGGTTGCGGCTGAAGAAAATAACACTTTTGTGTCTGAATCGACAGTTTTTGTGTTCTGAATTTGCACGAGGACACAATTATTCTGGTGCATTATGTTCTTAATGAACATTAAACCAGAATCGGTGGATTTTATCATAATTTTCTGAAATAGACCTTTCTTGTGTATTTTTAGTTTTTAATGATCCAAAGACGTCAGTAAATCCCTGTTTTTGACATTTTTACGTAAATCCTAATAAGCTGTGACCAAAAACAACTTCCATCGGTTTTCAGAATTTTTAATCAGGAAATAAATGATTTAGGTTAAAAATCCATATAAATAACTGTGCCTCCCAGTTTTTACTTTGGTGCTGCAGATTAAATAAAAATCTCTGACAGATTTTTTTCACAAATCACCTCACAAAGAACTAGATTGATATTCTCAGCTTGTATTTATTTACACATCCTGGTATCTGCTCGTCACCGCCTACCAGCAGTGGCGCATTCAGGTAGCGTAGGAAATTATGACTTTTACAATAACTTTATCACCTTTTTCCATTTTTTCTTTGTTTTTGACACCGAACCTGGTGAACGGTATTGTTGTTATTTTTTCTTGTCCTACTGTTTTATTTACTAAATTCGAGGTGTTTTTTATGATCTAAAATAGTTGTAAAATCTTTTGGCGATTCTACTACTCACATACACCCCCCCCCCTCAATTTATTGGGGAAGATCGAGTAGAAAAAAATATATATGTGTATATACATATATATATATTTTTTTACTTGGTAAATATATATATTTATACGTTGCGACTTGAATGTTTTGCTCAGTGTAGCTACCCTCTGTCCCACTGACTCCTGAAGGCAGCACAGCCGCCTATTGGTTAAATACAGCTGTCAATCGGCGCTTTCGCCCCGCCCAGGTGGTGACGTCTCCTCTCCAAAGTAACCAGCCAGTCCGTCACGCGCACACAAAAGACACAACAAAAGCCAGTGTTGGAAAAATGAGACCCGTCAGCACCAAACGGACCCAAGAATAAGTTCCCATCTGGCGGCAGCGCACGTGGACCTGAACCGGGCCGACGAGAGTCACTTCTCTAGCTCCAAACAAAACAAAAGCAAACAAACAAATCTCCATCTGGTTCGTTCCTCAGCAGACAGGCTCACATCCTGACCCAGGTGGTGAGTAGCTCCAGAACCAGCAGAACTCTTTTATCTGGGATTGCAAACCCGCTAGAACCTGATTCTGGTGTCGTGTTGAGTTCACAGTCCGCTCCAGGCTCGGAAAGTACAAAGCAGCAGAAACACTGTTGCGTCGTCTCTTTGTTGGAGAAAAAAAAACAATAAAAACAACAAAAAGAGGAACTAAGCGGACGTTGAGCGGCTGTGATGCGCTGGTGAACGTGTTCAGAGGAGGAGCAGGTCCGTGCAAACGCCTGTTATGTCTTTGTTTTTATAAAAATGTTTATTTGTTGGTTTCACTGAGGAGCAGAAAGTCTTTTGTTTGGACTCTTCTTCCTGTTTGCGGTTACCAGAGACGCACGCAGCTCTTTGTTTTGAATATCAGCTGTTTCTGCTCTGCTCAAATCTCACCTTGTTTCTTTGGTTTACAATAAAACAACCTTCCTATAAATAAATAAACACGTTCTGGGATGTGTTTAAGGCGGCTCAGACTTGAGTGCAACTAAGCAGTTAACTGGATTCAAGTCAGAATTAAAATGTGTTTTTGTATTTATGAGTGCTTGTTGTTAAAAACACAGTAGTTCGTGAACAAAAGTATAATTTTGTTGTTTTATTGTCTAAACTGAAGAGTTTGAGACAAGAAACAAACATCAACTGACTTTGTTTTCTTGTCCATATTCGGTATAAATGAATAAATAGTTGAGTGTGTGCGTCATATCAAGCCGTGCGTGCGTGCGTGCGTGCGTGTGTGTGTGTGTGAGAGAGAGAGAGAGAGAGAGAGAGAGAGAGAGAGAGAGAGAGAGAGAGAGAGAGAGAGAGAGAGAGAGAGAGAGAGAGAGAGAGAGAGAGAGAGAGAGAGAGAGAGAGAGAGAGAGAGAGAGAGAGAGAGAGAGAGAGAGAGAGAGAGAGAGAGAGAGAGAGAGAGGCTTTCATTTCTTAGGATGCATAGAACAAAGCTCATTTAATGACTGATGATGAGGCTGAGGTGTGACATTTGTGTTTGTATGTGTGTGCGCGCGAACCTATTCGTACACGTGCCACTGGGTTTAAACTGGGCTAATTCAGAGGAGATTTAGTCCTTTTCATGCAGGGATTATTCCTGAAGCACCTGTATGAAGAGGTGTAGGTGTACGTGTGTGTGTGTGTGTGTGTGTGTGTGTGTGTGTGTGTGTGTGTGTGTGTGTGTGTGTGTGTGTGTGTGTGTGTGTGCAGAGCAGCCCTGCTCCACGTCACGGTTGCTTCCTGTTGAGTTGCGGAAGCGTCTTTGTTTTCTCCTCCGGCTGCAGCTTCTGTCTCGACGCTGCTCTTCCTGCTGCAGCACACTCGGTCCGACTGGAAACTTCCAGCTCTCGTTTTCACTCATTGTTTTGGACAGAGCTTCAACCTTTGTCCTCCACACACAACACGTTTTTGTGCTAAGCTACGTTTAACAACAGCAGATGATCCCTGCTGGTTTCAGCACTGGGATGGTGAAACTCAAACTTTTTAAGTTTTTAAACTTATTTTAAGTTGAAAGTGTTCTCTTTGGGCTTGCGTGAAACAATCAGACCCATAAGACATTAAACAAGTATTGCGTGGGAATTAGAAGTGAGAGCCGCTGTGGTTTTGCAGAGAAAAGCATGAACCAACACCGTCTTGTCTCCCAGACCAAAGCCAGACGGCCGTACTGGTCAGGAGTGTGGTGTTTCCACATGAACCGAGCACTGTCATGAGCATTATCTCAGCCATCTGACTGTAATACTTACTTCTGAAGGTTTAAATAATGCCTTAACATCTGTGTAAATAAAAACAAACCCTATAATATCGTAACTTCTTAATAACTGAACCGTCTGCACACATGTCAGATTAAATGTCCTAAAGCCTGTTTCCTGTCTGGTATGTAGTAGGGCACTGTTGATGGTCCTCACGGCCTCCCTCGATGATTTATTTGTATTTAGAGTGAGGAAGTGACATCTGATCACAAGCGGTCACTTGAGGCAAAAGAGGAGCAGCAGATGGAAACTGATGCTCAGAGCGTGTGATCACATAGGATCGCCCAGGATGCAAATTCACCGCTGATCGAGTCTTAAAGGTGCAAATGCAGCTACAAAATACTAATAGTTTGGTTTAGTAAGCAAAAAGTCCGAATCTCTCTGGGTTGCTAGTGTGAGCTCCATGGGTTGCATGGTGGAACAGTGGTTAGCACTGTTGCCTCGCAGCACGAAGGTCGCAGGTTCTAAAGTCGGCTGCGGCCTTTCTGCGTGGAGTTGCGTTTTCTCCCCACCATGGACGTAATTTTCACTTTAGAAGGGGGCGGGGGGGTATCTTTACAGTATGCTCTAATGGGAAACAGGCTTCAAAACAAACGGTTGTTTTCCGCTTGGTCCTGGAGCTCAACCGGTGTCAATTTAATATAGCGTAATATTGTTTTTGGATGGTAAAAAGCGCAGGGGTCAAAACTTGACTTTGGAAAAAGTGGGGCCTGCCCCCCCCCAAATTACGTCCATGCTCCCCATGCATGCGTGGGTTTCCTCCGGGTACTCCGGTTTCCCCCACAGATCACAACATGCCCTATAGGTTATAAATTGTAAGTCGCTTAGGATAAAAGCGTCTGCCAAATAAATAAATATAATAAACATGGCGTGAGCAACGAGGTTTGCTCCGTAGGTTCCAGGAAGCCTTCAAACTTTAGTGGGAACACCCTCGTCCAAGTCTGGTTTTTGTAATTTGTTTGTGTTTGGAAAAATTAGGTAAATCATTTCTGTCAACGTCATTCTGGAGCCAGCCTCCGTTTAGTTTTGAGGGCCAAAAGGTGCTCAAAATAAAACTGAGACAACTTTGGGAGGACTTTGTGAACAAAGTGCAAATTGAAACTAAATTGTGAACACTTTGAGATGTAATCGCAACAAAAAGTAGAAGTCTAATCGGACAGTTGTCGCATAAAGCTTTTGCTCTGCATGTCGGTCTAGCCACAGCCCATGGGGCCTCAGCAGGTCTACCATTATGTGGGTGGGATGATGTGTTTGTAACAGCGTTAGCATCAACTTGGGCTATTGTTGAGTCAAGAGCAGATGGAGGTACTTTGTTTAGAAAAAGGAAGTACACTGAACAAAAATATAAACGCAACACTACATGCACAAAACACCCATGACTCAAATAGTGTTCTGTAATGTGTCTACATGTGTGTTAGTGAGCACTTTTCCTTTACGAGGACAGTCCATCCCACCTCACAGGTGTGGCATCAAGGGGCTGATTAGACAGCATGGATAATGTACAGGTGTGCCTCAGACTGCCCACCATAAAACGTACTGATGCAGGTGTGACGTTGGGTCTGCCAGACCTCTTCCTGTCAGTCTGCCCCACAGTGCCTTTTGATGGTGAAGGAAGCTGCACTCACTGACACCTTTGCTATTTCTCCGTAGGAAAGACCTACGTTTAAGTGTTATTCGAATCAAAGATACTTTATTAATCCCAGAGGGAAATTAGAGTTTCGGTACACACAATTCAGAGATCGGACATACACGGGCAAGACACATGACAAGAACTGGTGACTGTGGTCATTCGCAACCCTGAGTCGCGCTACCTTAATAGAGATAAGAGGGTTACATGAGGATTGGTTCAGGTGGAGGGGAAAAAAGGCACTTTAGAGTTACCCTCCATCGGGAGGGCAGCTTTGCTCTGCAAAAAAAAAAACACCTCAGACAGATATGCAACAGACTTCAGACAACACAACGTAAGTGTCCACTAGGTGGGGTGGTGGGTTGGGACTATCCCTACTTCAGTTCCTGCAGCCACTACAAGCAGCACATGTCACCTCAGTGTGGATAGGGGAGGAGCATTGAGGGTTGGAGGGTTGCAGTGACCCTGGAACGTTTCAGCGGCCTTCCCACAGTTCCGCCCAGGTTGGGATAGGATACAGATTTGAGTTGCCATAGCCACGGCCCATTCCACATATCTTCTGAGGGGGGAGTTTTCGTTGGAGCCTTGCAGGCTCAAGGGCACCAGATTCCGATTAGAAATTGTTTTTTTGGGCCAGACAGAGATAATTTCCTCTCTGTCTTACAGTTTGTTGGTCCTCAACCTCTCAAAATCCAAATAATGGAGATTAATCTATCCCAATCCGTGCTGATTCGTCCACTCTATCCTTGATGGCATCCATCTTTGTGCCAAAGAATGAATCTCCGCCAAAGTCCCAAGCTTACGATTCATCTCGACAATTATGTGAGTCTGTTTGCACCGCGCTCCGGGATCAGGCCAATATTCCTCGACAGCTCGTTAATTTTCCGGTAAGCCAGGTAGCCTCCAAGGCCAATGAGCAGGAAACCTGACACCAACACCACGAATATCCACACGTCTTCAGAGTCCTCCACAGATCTCCGGGAGCCCCTTCTCCCGTTCTCATCGTTGAAAAAATGTTATCAACCGCGTTGAGAGACCAGCTGACGAGATCCTTTTAAGTGAATTTCAGTTTCCAGAAAAATGCAGAAGCAGCCGTGCACCCAACACACACAGACAGGCAAAGGGCCTTGAGGATAAGATATGGAGGAGAGGAGGAAAAAAAAGCGTCTGCACCCTCCAAGAGCCGGAAGTTAGGAGCTGATTTATGGTCTGTCTCTCTCCCATTGTTAATTGCCTTTTTGTCTCCTTTTTTGTAGCAACACACTATTATCTACCTGTCTGTGTGCAGTACACCATGCTGGCAAATTGGCGTTCTATTACCGCAATGGTATGTCTATAAACGTGCCATGCTGGCATGACGTCGCGTGAATTTTGCGGCATTCGTTCCGCCTCGCTTGAGGACAGACACCTTTAGGAGCTGCTTGTAAAAAAAAAACCTTACGATCACGGCTTCAATCGCAATAAAAAGCAAGTTATGTCCAAGATGAACGGAAGTCTGCGGCAGCGCAGAGACCGCCCCCATACCCCCCCCCTTTATGTCGCCATCACCTAATCTTTTATAACATTGCCACGATTGCGCCACATTACCGCCACGGTCTGATCTTATAAATGACCTTTATCCTCCCCAGGGAGCCGCGGCAAATCCCGTTTTGTAAACGCTATGGTCCTGTAAAAACGGCTTAAATGACCTTTTGCAAGGCAGCTGTGTCACCATGAAACTCTTGAAAAATATCTGCAATTAGAAAAAATCGTATCAAATTCCAAAATGAAACAATACATTCAAGACAAAATAATGACGTTTTGGTTCTCGTGGAAGTTAGGAGCTGATTTTGTCTTTAGATCTGATCAAATATAAGTTTTTTTTCTGGCCTCATGTAGAAAAAAGAAATGCACACGGCTTCCTATTTCAATAAATAAATAATACTCAACACAACAGGAGGTGGAAGGTCTTTTATTTTCCTGCAGCCTGTAAAGATAAAAGCACTAATAGACACGGAGAAGAAGCCACAGTCAGCCTTTAGATGTCTTTGAGATCCTTTCTTTAACCACGGCTCACTGAATAAACCACACTCATAAACGGAACAATACAGAACATTAAATCAACTAGAAAAATAAACGGTCGTAAACAGCATTGTGGTAACAATTCACGTTTTCTGTAACTTCTAGTTGGTGTCAGCTAGTTATGAGTTAATTAAATGAATTATTATGGTGTGAAAATTCAGTTTTGAACTAAAACGTTTTTAGATTTTATCTTTAATGTTTTCTAAAGTCTGTTTAGTGGCCCAACTGTGGGCCACTAAACAGACTTTGTGGGTCTCCAGATGTTAAATTAAACCTAAAATGAATTCATGACTGAATTTTGGTTTAGGGTTGCAGGTCTCTGTGGCTTTGGTGTGTGGTTTAAGTAAAGTCTTAAAGGTGTGGATCACAGAAAAACCACGTTTTAATGATTATCTCTGATTCTAACGGGTCCCTCTTGAGTGTTTCATGCAGACCGAACATGAAAATAGTCTCCTACGCCTATCTCCTGCAGCAGCTTCTGAATGGGTGTGTACATGGACGTCAGTCAGAAGGGTGATCGGACAAACCCACCTCTCTGAGTTGGAATGAAATTTCATTCTGATCAGGCCATATCGGATCTGAATTTTCCTATTAGACGTGTTTACACGAAGAATTTTTGATCATTCCAATTACTTGTGCCCATGTAAACATAGCTACTGTCACTTAAAGTGTGTATTTTTCCTAGCGATGGGGGTGGGGGGGTGGGGGGGGGGCAGTAGATGCAGGCGGGTTAGGGCAGTATTTTTGGTTTGGAGTAAAACCTTACCAGCGGATGCCCATTAGGGTCAAAAAGCCCTGGGGAGTGCAAACGTTAGCAAACTAACAAGCACATCAAACGCGCTTTCATCACTGGCAACAAGTGAAGAGGTAAATGTGTAAAACAACAACATTTAAGAGTGACAAAAGTTTTATAACCGTTTGTTACAAATCAGTAAATGCATTTTGTCCTCATGGGCTCCCATAGAAGGAAACATGTCATCTAATATGGCGTCGTCCAGAGACTCGGACCCGCTCTCATGTATTTTAGACCTGATTTTTATAGTTATATGTTACAAAGCCGCCAATATTTTTCAACAACTGGGCATCATTTCATTCATTTTCAACAAAATTTTGATGAATATTTCCAGATATTAGTGGTAAAAACTACACATTGTCTCTTTAACATTCATGGACTCACCCATCTGGACTCAAGATGGTGAAGGCTGTTGTTGGTTTAACGTCCAGGAAACGGCAGAGAACGTCCCGGCTAGTAAAAGCTAACTATTAGCATGAGCAACTCCACCACACTGCAGAACTCCTCCAGGCTTGTGTTATTAGTGGAGATAAAACATCAACGTTGCAGAGCAGACAGAGTCAGTGGTAGAGTCGTGTTGCTGTTAGCCAATCAGAGGAGAGATGTCCACATATCAGGAAGTAAGACTCCAGATCCTGTCGCCTGAAGCTCAGCTGTGATGTGGCTCACTTCTAGTTCCTGAATATGGTGCACCCCGAGTACAACCTACTAGAGACCACTGCAGATGAAACACCTTTATGAGGGACAAGGAACAGTTTCATAACCAGCTGAGTTGTTGTGATATTTAGTGACATCACCGTAAAACTGCGTTAGTCGTCATCAACTCACAATTGTAATCATGTAATAGATGATCGTAATCAAAGGATTACGCCAGCGAATGCTCTGTGTTCATTTTGGAAATTCAATCAGGATCATAAGTGCTAAAAATAGGACATATGGAGCGTGCCCTCAACCTCCTCTCCTCTGTGGTTTCTCCTCTGCAGGCCTGATTTTTTTCCTGTGGTGTCTGTGTGGAGCGTACCACACACCCACTCCACAACAACGACGGCTTTTGCCTGCATCTTCCAGTGTTTCTTCTGTCAGCAAGTCCAGCAGAGCTGCAACTCTTCCAGTGCCAGCCCTGACACCAGCGAGGAGCCCTGCCCCACTGACATGGTGAAGATGACCAAGTCCAAGACCTTCCAGGCTTACCTGCCATCCTGCCATCGCACCTACAGCTGCATCCACTGCCGGGCACACCTGGCCAACCACGACGAGCTCATCTCAAAGGTACCGGAGCTCAGTGTTTTTTTTACAGTTCTCATGTAAAACCACTCTGCAGCTACTCGCTGGATATCAGGGGAGTTGCAGCTGCCTCTTGGATCAGGCTGCAGCCACATTTGGTGCCATGGGCTATAAACAAAACACACATAAGGGATCTGAAACACGCTCGTCAGCTGTGGGTGCTGGCCTTTTACTTTGAGCTGTAAATAACAGTAGAAAGTGTGATGCAGCAGAATTAATGAATGTAGGTCAGTGTGACACGGCGTGCATCAGAACTGTCTGTGGCATGAACAGGGACCTGAATCAGCCTGAACAACCAGATTCCTCAAGGCTGATCAGTTAAACCATGATCACTGATATTCTCCAGAAATAACCCGTCATTATTTGTTTTTAAGGGGTTGTAGAGCTTTTGTTTTACAATTAGAAGCTGTTCTTTGAGTCTCCATATAGCAAATGAAGCTTTTTAGTGGCTCAAAATGGCCCAGGAGTCCTGATTAACAGCCAAACACATCCCCATAATAAAGCTCTACAATGTAATGGCTAGTTTGCCCCGCCCACCCAGCCAGGTTATGATTATTAAATGAGCTGTGTGCAGACTGGCCAGTTTACCCCAACAGCTTTAGGATGCTTCCTAAAGCTAGGAACTCTCTGTACGGCCATGTTCAGTATCCAGATCATTCCATAGGCAAGGTATGGATCTATCTGGCAGTCTTTGAACATCTGGATACGATGATAAGTCACATGTTCAGTGCCTCTCTCAGTCAGAGGACTGGTCCCGTAGCTCGAGCTAGTGTTTGCAGTAGCTCAGGCTAATGTTAGCAGTAGCTTGGGCTAGCGTTAGCAGTAGCTCGAGCTAGTGTTTGCAGTAGTTCAGGCTAATGTTAGCAGTAGCTCGGGCTAGCATTGACAGTAACTCAGGCTGGCGTTAGCAGTAGCTTGGGCTAGCGTTAGCAGTAGCTCAGGCTAATGTTAGCAGTAGTTCAGGCTAATGTTAGCGGTAGCTTGGGCTAGCATTAACAGTAACTCAGGCGGGCGTTAGCAGTAGCTCGGGCTAGCGTTAGCAGTAGCTTGGGCTGGCGTTACCAGTAGTTCAGGCTAATGTTAGCAGTAGTTCAGGCTAACGTTAGCAGTAGCTCAAGCTAGTGTTTGCAGTAGCTTAGGCTAATGTTAGCAGTAGTTCAGGCTAATGTTAGCTGTAGCTTGGGCTAGCATTAACAGTAACTCAGGCGGGCGTTAGCAGTAGCTCGGGCTATCATTAGCAGTAGCTCAGGCTAACATTAGCAGTAGCTCAGGCTACCATTAGTAGTAGCTTGGGCTAGTGTTAACAGTAGCTCAGGCTAGCGTAGTAACAAGGTAAATGTGGTTTAATCTTTTAATATGAAAAACACCTCAAATCTAAACTTTATAAAATCCATGAAGTTATTAGACAGAAAAAAGTACTGCCTGGTCTGAATCCAACCCACAAACACGTGACTTACAGTCTTTTGAAACTGTTCAGTAGTATAATCACCGCCTCAACAAGTCTGAACTACATCCTGTTATTTCAAAGCTAACAGATGCTAGCGCTGTTTTGAACTCTGGTCATGGAATAGATTTCTATCAGTGAGTTTACAAAAGTGTCTAAAGTTTGAAGTGTTCCATCAAGTTTCAACAGCTGGCTGAAAACACTTTTATTAACAAACTGAAACAGGCTACGCTGAACATGACATTCACATACAATCAGAAACGTATAATTATTACAGCATAAAAAAAAGATCTTAAGTTCACTATAACGTTGAGAAGCGTTGGGACCTATCAGCCAAAACGCCTGTTTCAGAAGTAAACCAAGTCAGACTTTCATTTACACCCAGGTAACAAAACACCTGTCAGTCCTTCTCTCCACGCATCAGATCAGCTTCAGCCTTTGTTCAGGTGAAAATTCCACATCCCTGCAAGAGTCGTGACACATCGCTGCATTCATGTGGCTGAACAGCAGCATCAAGTCACTCAATAACAGAAAAGCTAATCTTGCTCCTGTTTCTGCCAGCAAACATGTGTAATACGTTTTATCATGTAACAATGTGGAAAGGTTGTGGGTTTCAGACTCATCCAGGGTGAAAACGAGCATCCTTGTGTTAGAAATCTGTGAGTTTCTCTGACTGAAGCGGAACCCTCGTGCAACCGCTAACCTTTCTGTCTGTGAGTCACGAACGTGTCTGTCTGTGAGTCACTAACCTGTCTGTGTGCCACAAACCTGTCTGTCTGTGAGTCACTAACCTGTCTGTCTGTGAGTCACTAACCTGTCTGTCTGTGAGTCACGAACCTGTGTGTCAGGAACGTGTCTGTCTGTGAGTCACGAACGTGTCTGTCTGTGAGTCACTAACCTGTCTGTGTGCCACAAACCTGTCTGTCTGTGAGTCACTAACCTGTCTGTCTGTGAGTCACTAACCTGTCTGTCTGTGAGTCACGAACCTGTGTGTCAGGAACGTGTCAGTCTGTGAGTCACTAACCTGTCTGTCTGTGAGTCACGAACCTGTCTGTCTGTGAGTCACAAACGTGTCTGTCTGTGAGTCACAAACCTGTGAGTCAGGAACGTGTCTGTCTGTGAGTCACTAACCTGTCTGTCTGTGAGTCACAAACCTGTGAGTCACGAACGTGTCTGTCTGTGAGTCACAAACGTGTCTGTCTGTGAGTCACTAACCTGTCTGTCTGTGAGTCACTAACCTACCTGTCTGTGAGTCACAAACCTGTCTGTCTGTGAGTCACGAACATGTCTGTCTGTGAGTCACGAACCTGTCTGTCTGTGAGTCACTAACCTTTCTGTCTGTGAGTCACGAACCTGTCTGTCTGTGAGTCACAAACCTGTCTGTCTGTGAGTCACAAACCTGTGAGTCACGAACGTGTCTGTCTGTGAGTCACAAACGTGTCTGTCTGTGAGTCACTAACCTGTCTGTCTGTGAGTCACTAACCTGTCTGTCTGTGAGTCACAAACCTGTCTGTCTGTGAGTCACAAACCTGTCTGTCTGTGAGTCACGAACATGTCTGTCTGTGAGTCACGAACCTGTCTGTCTGTGAGTCACTAACCTTTCTGTCTGTGAGTCACGAACCTGTCTGTCTGTGAGTCACGAACCTGTCTGTCTGTGAGTCACTAACCTGTCTGTCTGTGAATCACGAACATGTCTGTCTGTGAGTCACGAACCTGTCTGTCTGTGAGTCACTAACCTGTCTGTCTGTGAGTCACGAACCTGTCTGTCTGTGAGTCACGAACCTGTCTGTCTGTGAGTCACTAACCTGTCTGTCTGTGAGTCACGAACATGTCTGTCTGTGAGTCACGAACCTGTCTGTCTGTGAGTCATGAACCTGTCTGTCTGTGAGTCACAAACCTGTCTGTGTGTCAGGGACGTGTCTGTCTGTGAGTCAGGAACCTGTCTGTGTGTCAGGAAGCTTGAGGAGACAGCTTTGAGAAGGGCTTGAGACCAATTCGTGACTCATCAGAGATGAATAAGAGAATCTGACCTATCTGGTGCCACAAAACTGGGAATTAGGATCAGAACAAATGGAAAAAGAGTTGGGAATATTTGTTTGTGGGACACTAGTGTGAATACTGCAGGATATTTGTGTATTTAAGCAAAAGGAAAAGCAGAATTTAAAAAATGTAATACTTAAAGCCTGATCATCAAGAATTAAATGGAAATCCTGCAAATTACATGAAATCTGTTCATTTAATCTGACACTGGATCTAAATTTAAGGTCCTGTAAATCTTAAAATGAAAATGTTTTCAGAAAAAGCTTAAAATCCCCTAGTGGTGGTCTGTGGTACTGCGTGTAAAACCACTTCAGATTTGCTGTTTTCCAGCCGGACGGGCATCTTTAGGAATGTGGTTTTCCCTGTTGGGTTTTTGCTCTGAGAGCATTGATGTTGTGGCACGTTTCACATCTTTTGCAGCTTGAGTTGAGTTATTCTTTTATCTCACCGCCGTAACTCTTCCTGATGTCCTCGGCTACAAATAATTCAATGGCAGGATTATATTTATGAGCTCGGGCGTTGGAGAGGCATGCTTGTGTTTGTTTCATTAAAGTCACGCCACCTTGTTGGCTTTGGTTGATGGAGGCTGACCCTGCAGCGGGAATGCTGGGAAACCAGTAGCACCAGTGAGCCTCAAACTGGTTAATGAAAAGGTTAGTGGGAGACTTCAGGAAGTAGAAAATGAATAATCTGATCAGAGGAATCCTGCTGCAGGACTTTAAATCAGGTATTTTGTTCTGTTGACGTGTGGAGGTGTTTGGCTTTTCTGAGGTTTGATGAAACATTCCCATGTTTATTAAGTCTGAGCTGTTTGCTGCAACATGGGATTAAAATCCAGATTTACAACATAATTAGGAAGATCATATGTCGTATTTATAAAAGTAATCGAAAGCAAAAGACAGAAGAGGACCTGAACAACAGGTTTAATTCCAACACGGAGAAAGTAAACAGAGACTCCGATGGACTTTTTCCGACTTTCTCACTCCTGTCACAATCTGATGTTCATGTCAGAGCTGGAGGGGTTTGACCTTTGACCTCGATGTGAAGGGATCTGGATTGAGATCGATGGTAAAAATCACTACGGTGGCGAGTGACCTGCTGACTGTCGTGTTGTCTTGTTTACTGGGACAAAGTGACTGTTGACAAACCTCCTGATTAGTCCGAACTGTCCACTTTATTGGATTCCAGGAAGAGAACTTCCTGCTGCGCTCCGGCTCAGATTGTGCCGCAGAGAACTCCGATGTGAGATGGGAAGAGGAGGACAACTTTCAGCTCGTGAAGTATAAGCATGACATCAAATGATGCTAAAGGAAAGAAAATAACAGTTCCTCTCCTGCAGCTTCCGAGAACTTCGCCCCTGCAGGAAAACTGGCGGCCGTGGCTGAGTCGGGAGAGCGGTCGATCTCTGATCCCAGGTGAGAGGATCCATCCCTGCAGGCCACGGGCCGAAGCTTCCTGGGGCAAGAAGCTGAACCCTAACGTTGCCCCGATACGGATATCTGCCCTTACGTATTTTCACACGCAGCGACGATTTCCCCAAAGGATCAATAAAGTATAAAGTATTACTATTATTGTTTTTATTATTGTTGTTGTTATACTAACGGCAAAACAAAAACCTGAAATCAGTAGAACTGCTTGAGCTTCACTTTTATCCGCTTCAGAAAAACACGCAGAGGATTAAAGATCCAGACACCGATTCTGTAAAGCAGCGAGAAACCAGCTGCTAGTATGGAAAGCCATTACTCGTACAATTTAAACGTGTCTACGGCATGCTGGTTGTGTTTATTTGTTTATCTGGGTCCTTTTCCGTAGGAGGAGGAGTGACTTCGCCCAGTGTTTCTTGTTTGAGTTATTTGGCGTTTGGTGATGTTGGGTTTTGACGTTCTTGTTGCAGCATCGGATCCAGATCAGATTTCTGACCCAGAGAGAGCGAGAGGAACCTTCCCAGAGGTTGTCTACTTCCTGTAGGACGCGGTTATCCCCGCTGATTTGCGTAGCTTCAATAAGCTGTTTTCCCTTCGCTGCAGCGTGCTGACATACGTGCGTTCACTGGCCCGAGACGGCATCAGCAACCCCCAGCTCCAACTCGTCTAAGCTGATTATGTTACTTAGGAGAAGACAACACCGTTGTCCGGTGTTTTCCACTCTGCACTGCCAACAGCCTGGCTTGACCCATCCAGAGAACCATGCTTTTGGGTTTTCCTGCCCGGTGGTGCTGGGAGGAAGCGTAAGGCTGGTCCAGCTCTGCAGGTTCTGGCAGATTCCTCCCTGTGACTGCAGTTTGGAGATCTCCTGAGCCAAGTTCACGAAAAGCTGTTTCCCCTCCCCGAGCTTATGCAACGAGTCCTCCAGACACACCAGCCTGAGAGAAGGGATGCAGATGGAGCAGCTCGAAAGAGAGGATTAACCTGAGGAAGTGTGGCGGGGGTGCGGCGCTCCTCCTCATCCTCCTCCTCTCAGCTGTTGGAGTAAACACGGAAAATCTTGGGATAAAGAGTCTTCTCTTCATCTATTCAGTCATTTTAATTCATTCATTTTAAAGTCCAGAATTGAATCATCAGTTTATCAAATTCTTCTTAAAGATTCTCACACAAGAATCTTTTTCAGTTCAATCATAAAAATGCAGAATAATGAGCGTAATTCCGTCTTTGGGAAAGTGATCAGAACTACCTTCTTGCAGCGATTTAGTCATTTCTTTCTCCCGTGTCTCCTCCATGGGAAACGCTGATGATGCAGAAGATGTTTGGGTGTTTTGGCTCCATCAGCATGAAGTCCAAACATAATCATGGACTCGTTCTTTGAGAGTCGACACCTTCGACCGGCGCTCCTACGGAAATGGGAACAAAATCAGACCTGACAAGTGTTGTCGTTGTCACCCCGCGCACGTTGCGTCGTCTGGGTCTTGCTGTCGGTTCGTATTTCTGTCAGCTGTTGGTTCCAGCGTGCAGCAGCAGCATCACCGGAGCAGCAGTCGGTCTGAAGGCCTGCAGTGGGCACGTGCACTCTGAATACTGAAGAGCAGAGCTTTTTATTCTGCGCCTCGGCTTCATCCCACCCGTCCGGCTGACGCAACTCCCTCCACGGGATCACCGAGCTTTTCGTTTCTCACCGATAATGGGGTTTCGCTCCGTTTGAGGAGGAGGTTTGCTGAGAAACGGACCGCTGAGTGATGCTTTTCAGTTGTTTTAGACTCGAGCAGTTTTTAAACCAAACTCATCTCATCTCCCAAGGTGTTCCCAGCCCAAAAAGAGCTTCAGTGTTACGGAAAACTCCAGAGGGAGGGGAGCAGGAGTCATCCTAGTCAGAGGCTTGAACCTCCTTGGCTGACTCCTCAAGACATGACGGAAGTTCTCATCTTTGGACCAGAAATCCAGAAAAGGAAATTGCTTAGTCAATCACCTGACCTGAATGGCATTACATTAATCTCCGAGAACAAAGTAAGGAACCTTGGTGTTATCTTAGACCAGGACATGTCATTCAAATCCCAGGTTAAACAGGTTTGTAGGATTTCCTTTATCCACCTTCGGAATATTGCTAAGATTAGAAGCATCCTTTCCAGGAGTGATGCTGAAAAACTAGTTCATGCATTTATTACATCAAGACTGGATTACTGTAATTCATTACTCTCAGGAAGTCCACAGAAGTTACAGAAGTCCACACTAGTTTACCTGTTTAATTATAGATCCACTAGGATAAATACAATAAAGTTTATCTTTCACCAAATAGAATATTTACTAAGAAATCACAATGTAACCATAGGCACATTACTTTGTCTTTGTGTGGGTGTGTGTGTGTGTGTGTGCGCGTGTGTGTGTGTGTGTGTCTGCTCTGTCTTCTCCATCCCCAGTGAGTCGTGGAGGATGGCTGCTTATACTGAGCCAGGATCCTCTGGAGGTTTCTTCCTCTTAAAAGGGAGTTTTCCTCTCCACTGTCGCTTTATGCTTGCTTAGTATGAGGACTGCTGTAAAGTCACTGACACTAGTCAGTGACTTGATGCAATTTGCTGGGTTCCTTATTTAGGAAACATTATTTCTGATTGGCTTAATGAACTGACCTGAATTGGAATGTTTATTATGTGAAGTGCCTTGAGACGACTCTTGTCGTGATTTGGCGCTTTATAAATAAAATTGAATTGAATTGAATTGAATCCTGATGAGGATGAGCAGCGGATTCTGAATGGGAGCCACCCTCAGGAGGAAGTTTGGATCTGGGATCTCGTTCTTGTTTCTCTCATGGCCCAAATCCCGTGACATTAGGTGAGGATTTAAACGCTGTTTTCACCTAGACGGGCAAAAGCGGAGCCGTTGGTACAGACGATGAAGCCCCGCCCTCTGAAGAAGAGACCCCTGCCTTTGTTTCTTAACATTAATGTGTTCATTCTAACATCTGATCGTTTATTCTGGACTGAGTTTTCATGTCAGACGTCTGACTCTTCATCCGTGAACCAGATGAACGGGTTTGGAGCGTCTCCTCCAGGGCTGGGGTTGGGGTTCCCTCGGGCTTTAGGCCTAATCGTTTTTATTCTCTGGTCTGAGTGAACATTAAAATCACGGCCAACAGCCGAGCCCCTTAAGGTGGATTTGTCTTATGCGTGCAGATTTTCTCAGAGCGAGCCATTGTTCCTTCAGCCCCCATGTGGTCAAGAGGATTCAGGGATTTGGAGATTTGCTTTGTAGAATTCATTTCTCCAGAACAAGCTTTATGTTTTATGCCTTTTTAACCCTCAGTCGCCGCTCTGCAGTTTGTGTTTTATCAGACTGTAAAACAATAAATGATATCTGATGGTGCTTCTGGTTTCCATCTGATTTGTTCCAAATTTTGGAAAACAGTTCCTACAGGAAGCCATTAGTCCTGATAATAAGATAGCTGGGAGTCTGCCCCGAAAGGTCCAGCTCGGTGGCCTAGTGGTAGTGTCCGCCCTGGGACTGGGACGTCGGGGTTCAAAACCGCTCACCACCAGATAGTTCCCGAGCACAGCCGCTGCTGCAGCTCACCGCTCCCCACGGGGATGGGTCACACGCCGGGAACAAAGTTCACCAGTGTGTGGCGACTTTAACTAAATGTTTAACTGTCCACAATTAAGGAATACAGATACAACTTTAAAAAGAAATCTTTTGGGGTTCTCTGCTGCTGTTCTGGTGAAGAGAAGTTTGTAGCAAAGTGAGTAGAGGAGGAAAAACGCATCCAAAGTAAAAAAAAAAAAAAAAAGGCTGGGAAACAGATAAGTGGAGCTGGAGCCGTCTCTGCTGACGTCTGAGCCTCGGCGAGGATCCGGCACCTGGCTCTCGTCACATGGACCGACTCCAACCCCCCTCGGACCAAACGCCACGGAAGTCCTGTTGTCACCTCCACAGGGGCCGACCCAGTTCCCCCTCGCTGCTTAAGGTCGTGTGTGTGTGTGTGTGTGTGTGTGTGTGTGTGTGTGCGTGCGCGCGCGCGTGTGTGTGTGTGTGACTTAAAAAACACAAACAGAAGGCCAGAGGATGTAACAACCAAGTGACAAACACCTCCAGAACCGATCCAAATCAAAGCATGAAATTTGTCTCCAGAGCTTTAATTGGAGGAAGCTGTTGGCTAAATGTTGGTGGGAAAGCCAGCTCGTCCGATGACCCCGCGGGGCGGGGTTAAAGGTCGCTGGTCCAGCGGACTCTCCTCAGTTTACATGTTTATGAAGTCACATCGTGTGTGGCTTCAGCCTGTTTTTATCTTAATCCTAAAGAACCAAAAAATCAGCTGTTTTGTTGTAAATCTCAATCCGATGGGACCAAAAATCGTCCGAGTGGAATCGGGCGGTACGTAGCGCAGTCGGAGACTCTGGAACTCAAGAAAAGGAATTCACTTTTGGATTTGTCGGGTCTGTGAACACACCGTCAAGTTAGTACTTATGGTCATAAAACCATAAAAATGCATGGTTGCTTGGGGTTGCTATAGCATCGGCATGATTCGACCAAGCGACCCTTGACCCCCCCCCCCCCCCCCCCAGTCCGTGCCAACTGTCTCAAATGCAGGAAGATGAAATTTTCAGTTTCCTGTTAATTGGTTTTGCAGGTAAATTAGAATCGTCCTAATCGGTATCGGCCGCTCAGAGCTAGATGGGAATCGGCATCAGTATCGGCCCGTAAACCCTAAATCGCTGCATCTCAAACGTTATAAAGTGTTTTTGTGTAAAAGTTATAAATAATTTCCATGACTGGGTTTCAAATGTGATCCTGAACAGCCTCTGTTCAGAGAAATAGTTTGTCCTGATAAGGTAACGGCTAGTCGGAATCAGAACGAAACCCAACAGTGAGATTTCATAGAAAAAGGTATTTTTATATTTTGATTTGTTCTTATTAAAAATCCACGCGCATAAAGAAGCACCAGAAAGATTCTGGTCTTTCATTTGTAATCAGAACTAAACCTGCCCAGAACCCGTTTGGGCGATAAGTGCCGAGTTCGTGTTTCTGCGCTTTAAGAGCTTGTCCAACAACCCCTTGTTAATAAAGGTTATTGAAGCTGCCGTGCTGACAGGCGGCCTCTCCGGTGTGTCTTCACTCGTCCTCTGGGGGTTTTCTTATCTCCTGAAGCCTCGACAGGGTGGAAGAACGAGTCTGAGCAGCAGTTAGTGGCAGAAAAGCACCCTGGGGTGTCGTTTGCCGACGTTCCCGCCCTCCTCGGCGTTTAATGTCGACTCACTCGGGTTCTCCTCTCTTCTCTTTCAGTCGTTCCAGGGCAGCCAAGGAAGAGCCTACCTGTTTAACTCCGTGTGAGTATCACGCCTCCTCCTTTGGGAATTAGGCAAAAGAAACGAGTCAAACGGGATTTAGTTTTCCAGTTTAACCCGTACGTGTTTTATTTTCATGGTCTTCTTCTTTGTTGATTGAACTTTGTTTTCTGGTTTAGGCTGCAGGTCAGACGGGATCAGTTTTGTGTTTTTATGCCTTGGCGCGAGTGGTGACGTGTTTCCCGTCTCCTTACAGGGTGAATGTGGGCTGCGGGCCAGCCGAGGAGCGGGTTCTCCTCACGGGTCTGCACGCTGTGGCTGACATCTACTGTGAAAACTGTAAAACCACGCTGGGCTGGAAATACGTAAGTCAGCCTCTCTGCTAACCTCCCTCCATTCCCTTTCTTCTCTCCTCCTCCACCCCGACGCTTTGAGTCCCACTGCCGTCTCGTAACCGTGTGGCTTTTCTGGTTTCCTAGGTGACAGATGATGTCACCCCGGGTCAGAGGAGCAACACGGCTCTCCGTTAAAGCTTGCCTCTTTAATTCCACGCTGATGGTTTTGTTCGGATTTGTTTTGCGGCGCTGGGACGGAGCTCTCTGTGGCATCCCAGCACACAACATAATTACAGCGCCCAGAGGCGGGCAGCAGACAGCCAGACTGGTACCGCGGAGAGTTTACGGTGATTAAATGTCACACCGTTGTGAAGAGACTTGTTCCAGTAATTGTCTGAACAGAAAAGACGAGCGAGGAGCGAAAAATAACAGAAAACAATTAGATAGTGGGGGAGCGGAGCTGGTTTATGGAGATGTTACCGTAGAGATGCAAAACCATTAGCTCTGACACACACACACACACACACACACACACACACACACACACACACACACACACACACACACACACACACACACACACACCACAACCATATGGTAAATGGTAAATGGCCTGTATTTGATATAGCGTCTTCTAGAGTCCTGGAACCCCCCAAGGCGCTTTACAACACAATCAGTCATTCACACATTCACACACTGGTGGTGATGAGCTACGATGTAGCCACAGCTGCCCTGGGGCGCACTGACAGAGGCGAGGCTGCCGAGCACTGGCGCCACCGGTCTCTCCGACCACCACCAGCAGGCAACGTGGGTTAAGTGTCTTGCCCAAGGACGCAACGACAGCGACAGACTGAGCGGGACTCGAACCTGCAACCTTCAGATAACGGGGCGAGCACTTAACTCCTGTGCCACCGTCGCCCTAACCATCTAGGTGTCCGACTGCCTGTTTGGGTTTCAGTCTAGACCACGCGGAGATCTTTCATCCTTTTATTATTAAACCATAAATACTTTTTATTCCTCGACTTTACTGGTTTCTAGTAACTGGGTTTCCACTGCAGGCGTTCCGGGAAATTTGTGGGAGGGAGGAAAACCGATCAGGAGATAACGACGCTGGTCCTCCCAGACGTCGTGTCTGCGTACAAACTCGGCTCTTCCAGGAGTTTCGAAGACGTCGGCATATCACGATGTGGCCGATTGGCACCGAAGGCGTCTGTGGACAAGTTTTACTTTAAAAACGTGTATTTTGTCAGAGTGGTGTAACATAGTACCTTCAGGGCATGGAGGGCGGCGCTGTGACAGAAACATTTTCCATCATTAGAAGAAATGCCATTTCTTACAGCGCTCTGTAGTGTTAGAACTACAAGTCCCACCCAGCGACTCGGCTGGGCGTGTCCCAGTGCATAGCCCAGTTCGGGTACTTGGTTGGACCTTCAAATGACCTGGAACTTGTCTTTTCCTGCCGGACCGGTGACACGAAGACATGTGCATGCGGCGGAGGTCCGTAAAACTACCGGAACGTGTAAAGTTTGGCGGTAAAACTGCTGCTTGGACCGTTTCCTGCTCCTGATGTTTCCTTCTCCCGTTTTCCACAGGAACACGCGTTCGAGAGCAGTCAGAAGTACAAGGAGGGGAAGTTCATCATCGAGCTGGCTCACATGATCAAAGACAACGGATGGGAGTGACGCCGCTCTTCTTCTCGGGTTTTTGTGTTTTGGGAGTGCTCCGTAAGGAAAAGACTGGAGCGTCCACCATCTACACCCCCCCCCCCCCCAACACACACACACCTTCCTCCTCCTTCACCCCCCGCCCCCATAGAAGACATCCATGGACCTCCTTCACGTGCACAAGCACTCACCTGCTCGTCGTGGAACTGGACACAATGAATGATACTAGGAAGCGCCATGGGGGGGCGGGGCAGATTGTGAAGCATATGTGTGTTTGATTTCCCCCCCCCCCCCCCCCCCCCCCCCCCCCCACTAAAACACACTTACAGGTGCCGTGGCGCCCGCTTGGAGAGACTCACTGAAAAGACATTTTGTTGTTTTCTTTCTTTCTGATGATGATGATTTTAAAGTGTTTTATTATTTTTTTGGTGCCGTAGTTTTAACGCTCGGATTGGGCGAAGCTTTGATCTGATGGCGGATGGATGTTACTGGTTAGCATTTTGTTTCACTGTCGACTTTTCTTTTGGTGTTCGGGCTTCAGCTGAGCGCGCTTTTACTTTGCTAAAGTCCAAATGAGCAATCAGGGATGGGTTGAGAAGGAAAGGGCAAAGGGAGTTTTTTAGTTACACACATGTAGCAGCTTCTCTCTTCAGTTTTTATAATGTGGGAATTTCCGACGGAGTTTCCCTTCTGCTTTTATCTCATTCGTGAATTTTTTTTTTTACTCCCTTTCCGGTACTTTTCAACACCCAAAAGCATCGAGAGCAGCAGCGCCTAGTATGTGTTGGATATAATGGGTGTAAAGCATATGAATATAGCTATACACACGTATAAATATATATATATATATATATATATATAAAAGTATTTGTAGTGAGAGGCTAATTGCGACTGTGGCTGGTCCCATTTTGCAGCAGCTTCATACGTGAAACGAACACAGAAACGAGCAGAAATGGTTTTTGGAGCGAGGGACGAATCTGACGCGGACATCCCATAATCTAGTAATGACACGGACACAAATACACATGAATATAGACACACATACTATGACTACATATCCATCAATACTATGATATTGTTCGTAGTACGTAGAAATTGACTGGAACATGTTTTTTATAAATATATATATTTGCTGTCATGCACATATGTATATATGCATATGAGTGTGTGTATATACATTTTGTGTGTGTGTGTGTGTGAGCGGCATACTTGAACAACGCTACATCGTTTGCACTTTGCGGAGGCCTTCGGTTCATCTCGGTTCGGAGGCAAACCCTGGTTTTAGTTTTAGTGGCCTTCTCCCAGACTCGTGGCGTTCGAGTCGCACCTGCTTTAGCTTCGGTTTTTAGCAGCGACTTGTAACTTTTGCACCCACTTCTGAGTACAGAGTCTAGTATTTATTCTTTGCTGCTGTTCTGGGAAAATTCTCCCACTTCTTTCAGACTTCTCCACTCCTCGTTTTCCCACTGGCGGAGCGTTTGGACCGTCGGGGATTTGCCTCCATGCTGGATGAATCCTGTGCCTCTTCAAAACATTGCCGGCCGCCCCTGTCCCGGATTTTTGTTGTTGTTGTGCGGCGCGTAACTCAGAAAGCCTCGGATGTGTCTTCCCTCGTTTTGGTTCGACGTGGCCCTCGAAGCAACACTTTTCAACAAACTTCTCAGAAGAATCAGTCCCTTCTCTTCTGTTTTTGTGAGAAAACTCAATATTCACGAATATATTTTCTACAGTAACGTCTAGAGGTGCACACCCACAGATTCAGTGTATTAAAGGGTTAGATGATGGGAAAAGCAGGTGGGGTGTTCAGCAGTGATTGATTACTTTGCCGGCGAGGTCAGTCAGATCACACGACCTTTTCTCCTGGAACAGAGACAATGCAACCCTTCGCAGAAAGCAATGAAACTACTTGAAAACAGCTGAGAAATTGGCCCGTTTTAGTTTTTGTACATAAACATATTTAAGGTTTTATACGTATTTCTACCGGGTTAGTTCTTTTACTTCCCCTACTTGAAGCACTTTTGTTCACTGTACTTTTGACTGTATGTGTGTGTGTGTGTGTGTGTGTACGCGCACGTGCGTTTTAGCCAGCGTGCACGGCTGCACATGATGGCGAATGTTTACCCTCTCCTCCGTTTTCTCTCCTTCGCAGCGTTTTGCTTTCACCGTCGCTGGTTTGTAGTCGCCAGCCAGTCCAGTTAGTTTGGAAGTGATTTGTCCCCGTTCTTGTTTGTTTGTTTGTTTTTCTGTTGGCTTGTTTATTTA